CAAATTCTTAATTTCTCACACTTAATTAGATTTTTTTCATATTTATGCATATTTTTTATTCACATTTAGCTCAAATTCTAAGCCTTGTTTTTTTTTTTCCAGAACTTTTACAATTGCTTCCGTCTTTAAAGGGGGACTATAGTGCTAGGAATACAAAGTCGTATTACAGTGCCCCTCTTCCTCGCACTCTCCCTCCCCTTGGCGCTGAAAGGGATAAAAACCTTTTCGTCCTATATCGTATTCCAGAGTCCATTTCCTTCGGCGATGGGTCAGGCTTCGCACACGTGCGTTGATCACCGCAATCGCATTAAGACAACCCCATAGGAAAGCATTGATTCAATGCTTTCCTATGGTATTTTAGCTGACCCTGAATATCGTCATGCAAAGTGTGAGAACGGCCAACGTTGTCTAGCAGTAGACAGCCTCTAGAGGGGGAGTTAACACTGCAAGGTAATTATTGCAATTTATCAGTAACTGCAATAATTACAATTGCAATGTTAAGAGGACAGGGGCACTGCACCCAGACCACTTCAATGAGATGAAGTCGGTGGGGTCCCAATTAATTGGGGAGGGGGGAAAGGGGGCTATTTCTGAAACCAACCAATCAGATCGCTCTGAGTTAAATTGCAGGGCGTGGGAAGGCTTTATAAGATGGATTACATTTTATCATCTGAGGTTTTTTTGTTTTGTTTATAAGAACTAGACGGAAATTATGGATTTTTATTTGGCCTTATTTCTTCAAATGAAATACTGAATCGAAAGAATGACCAAACGGTCTATCCAAAGCTGGAAAAAAAAAATGCATGAATTTTGTCTGAAAATGAATAGGGCAGTGGACCAAACTTGGTTCTGACAAACAAGTTTTTTTTCGTCTGAATGCAACGAAAAAATCTCCCGTGCCCATGTCTACTAAATAGGTGATTAAAAGACAAGAATAAATAGTGCATAAATAATTACCATAGCACTGCTATACACCCTGGCATCAAGAACAGAAGTGTAGAAAAAACAGCTCTAAAATGAAAGATATGAGCCTAAAGGCTCATAGGCAGTGTGGCATATTATTTTTTTTTAATTTTTAGCATATTGACCGTACGCTGAAAATCATATTGCTGAATGAGAATAAACTAACTAAATAAATAAAAACGCTGCTTCACGAACATATGGTGCCTCAATAATTTAACCAGTTCCTTGACGTACGGTAATTGGAATTTGTAATAGCACAGCATTGTACAGGTACAGCACCAAGGACCAAAAAAAGAACTGAGAGCAGCCACCTATCAGGCGGCAATGACACTAAGCCTCCCAGTTGAGACGCTCCTGGCATGAGGATCTGACCCAGTGTTGGAGCCATAAGATTGCAGAGAAGGATAGAATGGCGTGGAGCACAATCGCCTTGCCCATCGTGGAAACTTTCACCTTCGCATCCTCTTGTTACGGAAGCGGTGCGTGGGAAATGAGACTCCGGGCGCCTGCAGCCCACAGAAAATTGGTGAATCCTGCCCAGACAATCCCAGCCGAGTGCCACCCCCTGGATTATATGTAGGGGCTGCATGTATCACCCTTTGTCATAACTACAGCCAGAATGCATCACTGACGCAGTTAGATGCCGAAATGTAGTCGGCATCCATCTTGGAACAGCAAAACTCGTGTTCAACAAGGGTTGAAGTAGGATAGGCAAGGACTAAACTTAGGTAGCCACTGTGTTGCTAGGCAGGTGTTTGTGGACCAGGATAACCCCCACTGGTCTGAGGGGGAGAGAGGAGTTTCCATTCAGTAGCTAGAAATCTGCTGCCTTTCCGCCTAATATAGCACGCAGACTGCAGGCAAAGGAGCGTAAGAAAATGACGTACAAATCTGGTAAAATCCACACGAAGATTGAATTGCTTTCTGGCAGGAAAAATAAGTTCATTACCAAAAAGTCACAGAATATCCAGGATGCTATGCTCAATTTTAATAGCTGGGGAGCTTCTCCAACAGGCGCCTTGCTAAGTTGGTAGTCTTCTCTGCTTTGTCGTAGTCCCCTGCCCCCCCTTCTTTTTTCAATTCTGGTTCTATGTGCTCTTTACATACATCAGTGTCATTTCCACCGGTAACTATCCTTTAAGCACAGTATATGTGAAATAATGTGCTCGCCAGTATGTATTTCCTAATATTAGCAGTTAAAATGCTCAAATACACTTAATGGAAGATCTCTCCTCTACAGAAATACATAGGTTATATGTAAGGAACCTCCAAACTGGAGGTCACGGTTGGATAATGCATTATGAAGATAGCACATTAATATTTATGGACCAGTGTGTAACATGGTCGAAGTGATTAGATAAAGGGATTCTGCTCCTGGGTTAATAAAATCATGCAAATATTTTTTTGAGCAAATTCCCAGGGATAGCAGATATGCCATTTCACAAACTAGGAAGTGACTAAAACCGCTCTAGTCAGATCTGTCTGGTTAAGCGTTCCATTTTTGGAAACACATGCAGTGCTGCTTCTATTACGTTGCTGAATTGTTCAATGGAGAAGAGAGGGGGGTTGTCTTTATATGTAATGATTCACAATCATGGCAGAGACTCTCTTGTATAAAACTAAGAGGGAGAGTTGTGTAGCATGCGCCTACTCTTTAAGGGGAAAGCTATTGAACTTTTATTTCTATTGTGTAGACAAAAAAAAATCAGAAGACCAAAACCCCTTATTTTTTGTGTATTTTGTTATAGTCTGTTTGGCTGTGTCACTGGTGAGATGCATTGTAGGAGCAAAATGTTAACTTGTTCCATTCCCATGTAGTATTCTAGAGGACTGGTGTCTCTATAAAGTTTGTATAACGGTTCCTAGAGTATAGAAAATATAATCTGAGTAACTATTTAATCCAAACAAAAATGTATACCAAAGTTCTACATATACAACAATCTGAATAATGCTCAAACAATGTAAGAATGAACAAAAATGTATTTATTATACTAACAAGGAGATAGATCCAGGAAAACATTGACACTTAGTATTGCCAACAAGTAAAGGCCTTTTAGAAGACATTCAAAGTATAGAATTTTTTTCAGCTTCTCCCAAAAAGGGAGGACCAGCTTTCAGCACGTAGAATCAATATTCGAAAAGCGTGCCAACAGACATCCATTCCTGTTAAATGACCAACAAACTTCACATGCAGAATACATAGAAGGGTATGTATGGTTTGAACTGTTCAATGAGTGACATAGACACATGCAGTTATTACTTGGAAATAAAAAGGATTCCAGGGAACCCCCAATTTATATCCTGTCCTGGTATAATAAGGCAGGTCATGTGCAATTTGTGACCTTTATGGACAGCAACCAGTAGCTAGCCTTTATCTTTAATGTCATGTCATGTGTGTCTTCTTTCAGAAGCAGACCTGTTAAAAACACCTGATATGTAATTCAAAAAGCTGTGCACAGCTGGCAAATCCTTACTGTGCCACAACAAGCAAGTGAAGCCTGCTATACAGTTGTGAAACATATTTGTTTTAAAGCTTAATTTCTGCTGGTATTTAGGGAGGCCACATTTCCAAAAAATACCAGTCGATCTATTTTGTATTTATTTTTTAATTTTTTCCAAATTCTTATTGTAATGTCTTTCTATGTGAATGGAACTAGGTATTGCCCACATTTTAGAACTACAGCTCCCATGAGGATTTGCTAGCCTTTACAACGTAAATTAAAGTGTGTTTTTATGAATTAAAGAAAACATTGATATATCTCCCCCCTCCTTCCCCTCTCTCTTTAACCCCGTTTAGCAACAGTCACAATCAGAAGGTACAGATGCACATGTTAGATTTAATGAGTTCTATTACCATGGAAGGAGATGGTGTAACACAAGAGCTGTTGGACACTATCCTCATTAATCTGATCCCTGCACATAAGGTCAGTTAAATTCCATTAAACCTACAAATTTTCAGAAACTAACAAATGTTTTGTTTTGTCTTGCATCATATGGCGGTTTTCTAGAATTAAAGGGAGGCATCTTCAATGTTACCCAATCCTCAGAACTATCTGCCAAGCACACTGAATGCTCTTCTACCAGAGAGAGCTGGGCTACTGCTCTTCTGATTGGTGTGCATAGTCTAGTTCACAAAATAGTGAACTCCTTCCCTTGCAAACGGATAACAGAGCAGTTCAACTCCTCATATGTGATAAAACTGCGATGTTTTGCATTGACCGCAAATAGTCTATGCACCAACAGAATTTCATTACGATGTGATTTTGGTACTTTGTGTCCCTTTACATTTTCAAGTATACTGCCTAATAAAAGGTCCTTTCAAGGGCCGCCTACAGCAGTCTGTGCTCATTTGCCTGTTTGTCTCAAGCAATTTGTTTCTGACATTTGCCTTGTAATGTACAGATGTTGGGAATATGTTTCAAATTATATATCATATACTTGAGTATTATTATTGTACTTCATTTAGAATGCATGGTTTGATGTGTGGGTGTTTTATTTTTTATTTTGTTCCCTTTGTATTTTTGTATAGATACCTTTGTATTTGACACACCACATATTTACATGCCACTAAGATTCATATATTTGTAAATGTGTGCTTACTTTCTCTTTCTCTCTCTCGCTCTCTCTCTCCAGAATCTAAACAAGCAAGCGTTTGATTTGGCCAAAGTTCTTTTGAAGAGAACAGCTCAAACCATAGAGCCATGTATTGCTAATGTAAGTATTTGTGTTTAACATTCACGATGAAAAAAAAAAAGATGTTTTTATACCTGAAACAGAAATTGTTAATAGTGCTTATGTACTTCATAGTTCTATAAGATATTGCCAGACATGACATCCTCAGTCATTGCAGACTTTTGAATTCCTGTGACTCATGCATGCTCCACCTCTGGATGTGGTGTTGTATTTTCACGAGCCATGCTGTTTCATGTACAGGATATATATAGATATATCTATCTAGATATATATAGAGAGATAGATAGAGATATAGATAAACTGAGATGCTTGCACTCCTGGATTAGAGAGTAATTGTCCGGTGCTGGTCAGGCACAAGATACAAAAAAATGATTGGAAATGACCGCACTCCAAGGACTTGTTGATGGTAAAAATAAAATATAACTTTTATTCTATATCATATAAAAATATCGACGTTTCAGCCCCAATACATGGGCTTTCATCAGGATGCCAATACAATACACAAATGCATATAAAATACTTATATAGCAAAACATAAAAGGATACTAACAAGCATCATGTGTGAGAGAACCAAAATGGCGTTCAAACTGCACGTGGAAGAGCTGATCAGAGTGCTTCTACCGTAGTTGCTAGGCACTGCGTTCCATTTGGTTGCTAGGTGATCAGTGGAATGCAATTTCACCCGACTGCTATGCTGTTAGATCAGTAGACACAGAGCTAGTATTGCTGTGTGTATGGATTGTTTTATTTATATATATATATATATATATATATATATATATATATATATATATATATATATATATATATATATATATTTTTTTTTTTTCTTCATAAAGAGAGCAAGGGCTAGAGGTACTTTTGATTAAAATGTGTATGTAGTGCTAGATAAAAATGTTATTAACTTAGCGTGGTAAAACAGTTATGTGCGTTGCTGACTGATAAATTTACTAAGCTGCTGTCAGAATTGTACTGAGTAACCATTTCTTTGTTTTGTTTTTAGTTTTTTAACCAGGTTTTAGTGTTGGGTAAATCTTCAGTGAGCGACTTGTCTGAGCATGTCTTTGATCTAATACAAGAACTATTTGCAATAGATCCCCATTTGTTGCTGTCTGTTATGCCTCAACTGGAATTCAAACTTAAGGTAAGTCCATCACTGTGAATCCTATATTAAATGTAAAGAAATGTATTGGTTTTACCAGCAGAGTGAGTCATTGTTCCTTGGTAAGATTCTCAGATCAGTCATTTTCAAGATTCCAAGACATGCATTACTTTGTTCTAATTGATGGTATTTATATAAAAAAAAAAAAAAAAAAGCTTTCTGCAGAATGTACACACTATAGGAGAGAAACCAATCTGGAATAGGCCTACCTTGATTTAACATTGGAAGTCTTTCCTGCAGTGTATTAATTTCTGAAGACATGCACTCTACATACATTAACAATCACCATGCTGCTTAATGTGTCCAAGGAAGCATAGTGGATATGGTAGATATTTGAAATAGATGTCTGACTCTCATGAAATATGTATGTTGTTTTTCCCATAGAGTAACGATGGAGAAGAACGTCTGGCTGTTGTGCGTCTTCTTGCAAAGTTATTTGGGTCAAAGGATTCTGATCTAGCTACACAGAACCGCCCACTATGGCAGTGTTTCCTGGGCCGGTAAGGATTTCTGTTGTGCAGGAAGGCTGTGCTTACTATAAAGGCCACAGAAATCATAGAAGCCATTTAGCCACTGTTACTATAAGCTTTCAAACAGCACTGAGTATGCGATCATGTAGTTGGTTACATGGCAGACCTGGAAGGGTTGAATTTCTGCTTACCAATGGCAAGTGGAAATCTTGAACCCTGCATATTAATGCGAAGGAGAATGTGCTTATAAAATTGAGAACATTCCACTCGCACGGTGTATATACGGTCACATTTTGTCTTTATTAATTTCTTTTATTTTGTAACAATTGAGGTGGTGTTCTTATTGACTTTTATGACATGTAGACATCCTTGACATAATCATTCTATGACCAATAAAATGTCGCCCTTTTTCCATAATTACTCTCTCCTTGCCTCTGTGATGGCACTTTTTGTTTGTTGCAGGTTGGAGAGAATGCATTCTTGAAATCTCTTTACTTGTGTTATCATTTGTTATTTTATCGTGAACACCTGCTCTAAATGCAAAAAAAGAAAAGAAAAAAAATATCAGATTGATCAAGCAACACACGCTAACCTAAATCTTTTAACCAAATAGTGGTTGTGCTTATTTTGATTTTTTGATTATTTTTTTTTAATTACTTTTGGTTAATGAGGTCGTTGTAAACATAAAGCTCTGTCTTCCCTATTACTTCTGTTCTAGTTCGTGCAATGGTGTCTTCTCTTTACTTGATTGGAGAATTTTGTTTTTGGTTATTTTCTCCTGAGTTGTCCTATATTCATCAATAAAACCAGGAACTAGAGCCATTATCACTGCACTCTAAAGTACAGAAAATGTGGTGACTAGTCTATTACCCAAGTTATGAATGAGTTGTTAGGGTTTCAATCTGTCATCCTTAACCACTGCAAATTAATAGGAAAAGGCACAATTGGATAACTGGAACACTGATGTGGAGTGATGAAGCAACCTGTATTTAAATGTCAGTTAGTTAAAAAATTTACATTATCTCCATATGTAGTAAATGAAGCAAAATACTTTTGTTTCATCCATCTTGAAATGGATTTATTCATAGCCTGTGTTTGGAAAGGGTAATTCAGCAGATGGGTAGTTACTCAAATGAATTTTCTAGTGATTTTCTGAATTGGAAAAATATAGTTACAACAGAAGTATGTTTACATAATCTAGTTTGTTTTTCTGCTCTCCTTCTAGGTTTAATGATATTCATGTCCCTGTCAGATTAGAAAGTGTGAAATTTGCCAGTCATTGTTTAATGAACCACCCAGATCTGGCTAAGGATCTAACTGGTAAGTTGCAAATAATCATGATATGCATTTCATGTAAAGCACAAATGTCTTAAATAAATTAGCAGTATTTGTGATTTGTCAATGTGCCTGGCTTAATATGTGATTAGGGAGTGTGCAGGGGTTTAGAAGAATCCAACTTTCTGTCTTTTTAAATATATTGTCAGCATAACGGAAAATGCCCAATGTTGGCTACGGATATGTTCTATACAAAAGCAATGATTTGTCATTTTCCACACGTAGTTATGCTTCAACATAAATTATCTCTGAATTTGTTAAATAAATTGTATATCACAGATATACATGATGTATCCAATGTAAAGTTTTGAGAAATAAACTACTTTTTATCCAGTGCTGCCATGTCTTGAGCTTTGTGGGAGCTACTCTTCTGTAACACCCACCTCTTTTCTGTCCGGTCTTTTTACATTTATATTTTTTATTTGCCCTGCTTAGGGATGCTTTCTCAAGCTGAGCTAACCACCTCTGTGACACCGACATACTGGCTTAGTTGTCAGCATGCCGGTATCTGACATTAGTCACTCCATTTTTATACTCCCTAACCAGTACTAGCAGTGTCTTAGTTACCATCGCAAAAACTGCGCATGTGCTCTGATTACTTTGTAGAGCAGAAAGGTTGCCTGTGTGATTTATTTTCTAGTTTTCCTTGTCCATTAATAGACTGTATGCAGAAGAATTGACCGACAGGTGTGAAACCTTTTTTTTTTATTTTTCTTTTTCTTTTTTTTTTTTTTTATGGGATTTTCTGTCTTAATTTCCTAGCAAATCTTGTAGCTCAATGTATAGATATAATGGGTACGCTCTTTCAAAAGAGCATAATTTATAGGAACTGTGGCAGGGTACCCTTTAAAGAGGGACTGCCACATTCTCAACTTTGGCTCAAAAAGTTAGCTATTGGTTATGATACAAACTAAAAAAAGTTATATTTACACTCTTAAGTAAATAAATGTGGTAACTCTTGTGGTGCCATTTCCAGACACTGCTGGAAAAAAAAATTGTATATGTAATTTCTTGGTTAAATGCACAGGCACCAATGCTCTTACCCGAGACATCCTTGCTGCTAAGTGCAATTTTGTTTCAGGGAGTGGGCAGGGTGGTTAACTTACATTGTCTGTTCTTCACCCTGGTAAACGCAGCAATTGCATTTAATAGGTGATGGAACTGTCACTTTGGGAGTAACTATTGCTCTATAAGGTGCTGCATATTTAAAGGACCATTATAGTCACCCAGATCACTTCAGCTCAATTAAGTGGTCTGGGTGCCAGGTCCCCCAGGTTTTAACCCTGCAGTTGTAAACATTGCAGTTTCAGACAAACTGCTATGTTTACATTGCAGGGTTAATACAGCCTCTAGTGGACGCTCAATGCGAAAATCGAATGGAGCACGCAGAACGTCCATAAGAAAGCATTGAGAAATGCCTTCCTATGGGCGTTTTTAATGCTTGCGCGGCTATTGCCGCGCATTCAGCTCCAGTCGTGAGCTGACGTTGAAGGGGTAGGAGAGGTCACCAGCGCCGAAAGGAGCCCGGGACTGGATAAAGGTAAGTGGCTGAAGAGGTTTTAACTCCTTCAGCCCAGCGGGAGGGGGCCCAGCGGGAGGGGGGACCCTAAGGATTATATATTGTCAGGAAAATTAGTTTGTGATCTATAGTGATCCTTTAATAAAACCTCCCTTTAACCCCTTAAGGACACATGACATGTGTGACATGTCATGATTCCATTTTATTCCAGAAGTTTGGTCCTTAAGGGGTTAAAAGAGTATTGAAATCTAAAGCTTCCCGTTCTATATATCTTGCATTAAAGTGACTTCTCTTTAAAATTATGTAATTCATTTTAGGGATTGACCGATATTGATTTATTTTTTAGAGCCGATACCGATAATCTGTGAATTTACCGATTATTGATATACTGTACATTTACCGTTTTGAGAAAATAAATAATTTCTACACAAATCTACTGTTAACTAAACATGTTATTTATTTTTGCAAACTTTTTTTTTATTAAGTGGTGAATGCAAAACATATACATGCCTATCAGATCTTTTTGTTTTTTGTTTTCAAGAATATTTAGTGTACCTCTCCTTTCCCTGTCCCTTAGTGTACCTCTCACATCACTGGCCCTTAGTGTACCTCTGCCCTCCCTGGCCCTTAGTGTACTTCTCCTCTCGCTGGCCCTTAGTGTAGCTCTCTCCCCCACCTTCACTCCCCCATATTGGTCCTCTCCCATATCTTGTAGCATGGCTGAGAAGAGCGGACCGCAATACAGGAGTTTCAATTTCCTGTACCTGGCCTGATGGACAGGAAGTGCTCTCTTAGTGAGCACTTCCTGTCAGTCCGGCCAGGTACAGAAAACGAAAGCTCCTGTACCACGGTCCGCTCTGCTCCACTTAACCATGCTACACAGAGTGACTGGAAGGGGGGAGAGCTGTGCGCCTTCTTCCTGCCGGTCTCTTGATTCTTGTGCCCCCAGAGCCGGTGAGCCGTAATGCGGCCACATGTTCCGCCTTATGGAATTATCGCCAATATCGGTATCAAAAGTGGCAAAAATCTGGAATATCATCTGATCATATCAGTCAAACCGATAATTGGTCTATCCCTAATTCATTTATATTTTTAAAACCTGAAATTTTAAAATCTCCCTTAAACTTAAACCTGTAATCTTACTCAAAGATTTGCAGCCAGTAAATGCTTCTCAAAGAGAAGCTTATTGCGCGACTATTGCCTCAATATTCCAGTACGGAGCTTTGCTATGAGAATTGATTGCTATTCATACACGGTTATTCATTAAAGTTAGACTTCAAGTTAAATTCCGATTTTAAAGTAAAAAATAGCCAAACTGGAATAATTAAAGTCCTTTATGCTTTCAGTTCTGTTACTCTGGCCTTTACAGACCGGATTGTTTATTTAAAAAAAAAAAAAAAAGCAGTATTTGTGGCAAAAAACTGTTTTTAATCTTAAGCATTTATGCCCCATAGTCATTGCATTAAATCAAAGGAAATGTTGTGTTTTAGACTGTTCCTTTAATGTATCTGTCCCTCTCTTTATATGAAGAGAACATTAGGATTACCAGCTGGAAAACCATTCTTGATACTCTACTGCAAATAACAAAATGTAATCCCTGACATTCAATCTTTTATTGTAACAGAACATGTGTTTGATCTTGTTTTTCTTACTGCTTCATTCAGCTTGTGTAGGTGGAAAACATGCGTGATAAGGGGGGAGTTATTTATGGGTTTCAGTGCTTTTCATCACTGGGTTGGTAATCAGTTGTCATGCTTGGGGAAAATAAGACTTTAGTTCTATTTTTGATGACTGCGAGGTGGAATCTGCTAACTGGTGTCAATATTTCCAGAGTTTTTAAAGGTGAGATCACATGATCCTGAAGAAGCAATTCGTCATGACGTTATTGTCACAATAATCACTGCTGGAAAGAAAGATCTTTCTCTGGTAAATGACCAGTTACTTGGCTTTGTGCGAGAGAGAACACTGGATAAAAGGGTAAGAAACTGTTAATTATGAATTGGAATGGAACAGGTGACAACAAGAACTCCAGTATTGTTGCACACATGGGGGAAAAAAACATTGAAACTTAAATGTTCTAATAAACAAAATCTTGAGTCCTAAAGCATGTTAATAAAACAATGACAGATCTGTTTGTTTTTTTGTTTGTTTTTTAAAGTAGCACTGTCACACAGCAATTTGTTTACATGCATATGTTTAAAATTATAAAGCAAGAAGAGTATTTTTCCTCTAAGTAACCTGTAGCTTATTTAGCAGGACTTTTATTTTCAAACTCTTCGTGACAGTTACAGATGAATAGCTTGCACAGAATGCACAAAGATAGCAGCCTATATGCTGAGTAGCTTCCAGCTGTTCACCGTGCAGAAAATAAATCGTTATCTGCTATCTGATTATGTGCCCAAAATGCCCAAGTTTACGTAGAAATTTTTTGTTTATGCTTACAAAAAGAAACCTGCTGAACAGATTGAAAAAAATTGATATACACAAGGTATAGTACATTAGACTAATGACAGAATCATTTTAAAAGCTTCAAAACACATGAAAACCTCTTTCCTAGTTATGAGTCCAGTTATTCTCGAATCAATTCAACCTAGTAAAAGTGTGTCGGACAAAATTTTGGTGCTTTGTAAGAATTATTTTTCAGCACGTTTAGACAATTGGTTATAGTAGCATTGATATTCCTACTGCTGTAGTTCAGCTGAAAAAAAAACAATTTAATCAAGATTGTAGATGGAATATTGCCTTTATCGATGAAACAATGATGCTTATCCTTTAAGTACTGCCTGGGAGCATGTAAATGCTGTGTATTTTGGCAGTTTTACTTGTAGAGGCCTTTCATGATGCCATCTAGTGGTAGAATGAGAAATGCTTTGTATGTCGCTATTAAAAGGAACACATTCATTATTTGCTAAAATGTGAATTTTTAGATATTCAAAGTGACTTTTTAATTTTTAGGCAAAATTGAAGTACCTCTCAAAATAGTTTTCAGATTTGATATTTTGACCTAAAATATGAAATTCACTTTGAATCCCTTACAATTAACTTTTTATGTAAATAAGATAGACGTAGATGATGTTTTCTTCTTTGGTGTCAAGATTTTTTATTTTCACTTATTAGATAATTAGTGTCTTATTTTCTCCATCACAACCAGAAGCTCAAACTGTGATATTAAGTAGCACTGTGCAATAAGATTTCAGATGCATGCATTTGGAGGGGGGGAGTGGTGCATGCATTTTAAATGCAACCATGAAGTGCAACTTCTTATTATAGGGCAAAAAATACCATAGAAAATTTTATATAGCAAAATGTTTAATTGTTCAATAAAGTGCAAGTCCATAGTGCATACTGTTTAAATTAAAAGTACTCCCATGTCACCCCCCAAAATGGTGCACTCGCATCAACCAGAATCTATTTGGTCTGGGATGAAGCGATTTTCAGGGAGAGAGGTGTATACCTAACATTGTTCTCAGTGTGGATCTTTCTGTGGCAACTGCAGCAACAAACAAGGGGAGCCCAATTGCGTTACACTAATTTCAAAACAAAGCTAAAATTAGAATGTTAAGATTAAGTTACTGTGGGCTCAAACTGAACAAGACCCACAAAGAGGGTTTATTTATTACTCTAATCCCTATTTAGAGCTGCCGCTCAAAGAGACCTCGTAGCTCTGGTCACATGAAGAAAGGCCCCTGTGTGCTGGTTTTTGCCCAATGGGCTTCATCTATTCATATATAGTATTTGTGTTTCTTCTTAGTGGAGAGTCAGAAAAGAAGCAATGATGGGGCTTGCTCAGCTCTACAAGAAATATTGCCTCCACAATGAAGCTGGGAAAGAGGTTGGGGAGAAAGTGAGCTGGATAAAGGATAAACTCTTACATATATACTATCAAAACAGCATTGATGACAAGTAAGTTCAATATCTTTCACATTGTAGAGCAGGATAACCTGCTGAAGTTTTCTTATTTATTTTCCCTTTTCTCAATAGTCTTCTTCATTTTGTTTATTTAACCTGCACTATATAGAGTTCATATGATGCACATTAAAGGAGTTAATGAGAACAAACAAAGCAGCCACCTTGTTCCCCATACTGCAGCCTTTAATGCAGCATACAGAGCAGCACCTTTTATGTAATAAACATTAGTGTGAGAGGGATGAATGTCCAGCTTAGAACTTTGGACCTGGAAACCCACTTTTAATATTGTGTGTCAGGGATGTTATTTACTATTGATAGTTATTATTTTATAAAACAATATATAAAATAGTTTCTCTGCACTATTTTGGATGGGCTCTAGGTTAAAGTTTTCTCTCTCCCCCCCCCCCCTTTTATTTTATAATAATCAAGGTTCTAATAGTATCTAAAACCCATGTTAGATTCCTCACAGCTGCTATATCTTCAGTCCACCTTAATTTTTTTGTCTTTGATAAGAATGTGATATAAAAATTTTTGTTTATTTATAGTGCACATATCACCAGTTGTCTGCAAATCATGTGTTATCGTTTTGTTTACAGTTATACTATTTATAGTTTATGGTTTTTTTTGTTATTCCACATTTCACATTTCTGTTAGTTTGTTTTGAGGTTTTTTTTTTCTTCTCCCCAATTAAGCTTAAGCATGGCATGTCTTTGTAAAGTGATTAGAAAACTATTGTCCTTTCACTTTTTCAAATTCATATTCCCACTGTTTTTTTCAGTTGGAAGCCTGGAGGAAGTGTGTGCGGAAGTACTGAGGTTTATGCATATATATCCACCCTCCCATCATTTTTTTAATTCACCCTTTCTTTCCCATTTTCTTTTTGCCAGATTGCTAGTAGAGAAAATATTTGCTCAGTACCTTGTTCCACACAACCTTGAGACTGAAGAAAGAATGAAATGTCTATACTATTTGTATGCTAGTTTGGATCCCAATGCTGTCAAGTAAGTATAAACCATGTACTCAATAGGAGATGACACTGTATAATGTGTTAGACTAATGTGTTAAAAATATGATTTGATGCATTCACATACCATGGGGCGATGAGTGTATTTAAAACTACGCAATTCTCACTTTAAAAAAAACTAGAATTTTTAGTCGCATGTGGCTGGAGCTCCTAACAGACAACCTCTTAAGTCTAATAATTATTACAAACAATTTCTACTCAAATCCCAGTTATTCTCCTGGGGAATAAGATTCAGATTGTTGGACCTGCTTTGGTCTGGATCTCCTGAATACAGTCCGTGCTAGACGTCTCTGTTGCCTGCTGCCCCACCGGAAGTGGGGGAGGCGGCCGCTCCTCTGCACTAGTTTAACAGCTTGCACCTGGGTCCCCTCCTCTTTGGACCGGTGGGGGGGTATCCCGGTCCGCACTGGAGAACTCTTGCGGCCTGCTCAACGAGGCCTCCCACAGCCTACTTCCTTGGTTGACCCGCTCCTACAAGCATTCGACGACTTTTGCGCACAACTACTAAACCGCAAAACACCACCTGTCCTTCAGTGTCAAGGCAAGAACTTATGGGTCTCAACTGTTGACCGACGCAGCCTCTCGCATGTGTCCCTCACGTGGTATCGCGGAGGTGTAGACGCGGACAGAAACCACGGCCGGCATACCTGACCAGACTGTCTAAACTTCAAGCCAGCTGCTACATACCTGGATCACGGACTGCCCGGGGTGGTCCCTGTCAACAATTCCCGCGCAGAAGGAGGGCTCCGAATAAGCAGTGCCGGAAACCTGAACCAGGGAGATCACAAGTCACAGCGCCAGCAACCCATCGGGATCGGTCTCCAGGGTTCCTTCTGTCAGAGCATGCTGCGGCTTGGGTCTGGTGTGGCAACCCTTTCAAGATTGCTGGACTCCAGTTGACGAGTGGCTGTACCTCTTCCTCTAAGGGCATCAGCATGCACTATGTAATGTTCATCTTTATTATTTTCTACACCTAAGCTTCACTTTTGTTCATTGTGCAGTCAGCCAGTCCAGATTACCTGTTACCTGTTGTTACTTTAATTAGCGTTTTGCCTGACATGCACATATCTACTATGTTAAAAGAAAAAAAGGTGCGGTACTCTCGTTACTTCAAGTTTTCCTATATGTCAATTGTTCTGTCAGAGGCTAATACATGCCTGTATGTTAAACCTTACACCACAAAAATAATTATAATAAAGTTTTAAAAAAAATTGAATTTTAAATGTAGAAAACTAGGATGTGCATTGCACTTACCATATGTTTCTATTCACAGGGCTTTAAATGAAATGTGGAAATGCCAGAATATGTTGAGAAGCCATGTACGGGAACTACTGGATTTGCACAAATGCCCTGTTGTGAGTATAGTGGAAATGCAGTTGTGTTTTCTTTTGTTTGTTTTTTCAGATATGACTTGTCAGTTGCAGAATAAAATGTTACAAAAAGGGCATTATGCTTCCATGTTAGTATTTACCATATGGATTGTAAACACCGTGAGTTCTTACATGACTTATAATGTACATATATAACTTTTTTAGGGACACTGGGCATCATTACCTAACCCCTTGCATAATTTATGGTTAGCCTTGTCTCATTCTTTCTTTTATTGCTGATAGATGAAATGTTGCCTTTCTACAGTCATAGAGTTTCTTATAAAACATCTTTACTATTGCTTGTTTTCCATGAGAGAGTAGTCAATGGAAGATAACAATGCAGCTTATGTTGACTTTCAGAATAATTCATGTATATTCATGACTAGTGTTCAGATATCTGTTCTGTTTGACTGTAGTTTTTGATTGTCAGCCTGACTTGTCCTGCAGAGGTCATTGCTAATCTGCCTACTTCCAACTTGGCTTCTTTACCATAATAATGTTTAGTTCAAGAAAACATCTGCTAAATGGTCCGTAGTAATAAGAGGGGATGATATAAATGTGTATCATTGTTCTGACCTTTCCCGTATGTGTGATGCATCTATACATACCCTTGATTACATTGTTTTTATTGTGATATTTTCTCCATTCCACAGTCTGAAGCAAACAATTCCGCTATGCTTGGGAAATTGATGACAATTGCAAGTGAGTTCTGTTCTATGGCATCCGTTATTAGTGGTTGCTGTTGTTTACTTTGAGATGGTGATTGGTATGGTAAATTGTTTGTGATACCTGTGTATGTTCCTGTATGTAGATAGTAAGCCTTTTTGAACCGGACCCTCGTCGCTTATTGTTTCCGGATGCATTAATTGTTAAAATATTTGCATTTCCTAGCCCCCCCTTTGCTTTTTTACCTTTAAAGGACCACTATAGTGCCAGGAAAACATACTCGTTTTCCTGGCACTATAGTGCCCTGAGGATGCCCCCACCCTCAGGGACCCCCTCCCGCCGGGCTCTGGAGAGAGGAAGGGGTTAAACACTTACCTTTCTCCAGCGCCGGGCAGGGAGCTGTACTCCTCCTCTCCTCCTTGCTCGCGACGTCATCGACTGAATGAGCATGCGCGGCAGGAGCCGCGCGCGCATTCAGCCGGTCGCATAGGAAAGCATTTACAATGCTTTCCTATGGACGCTTACGTGCTCTCACTGTGATTTTCACAGTGAGAAGCACGCAAGCGCCTCTAGCGGCTGTCAATGAGACAGCCACTGGAGGCTGGATTAACCCTCAGTATAAACATAGCAGTTTCTCTGAAACTGCTATGTTTATAAAAAAAAAAGGGTTAATCCTAGAGGTACCTGGCACCCAGACCACTTCATAAAGCTGAAGTGGTCTGGGTGCCTAGAGTGGTCCTTTAATTCTCAAATCTCACTTTAGTGAATAACCATGTGACTGTTAACCCTGTAAATAAAATCTTTTATTGGGTGTTGGAGGAAATATCTACATCCTGGTAGACTATTTAATCTGTTTGGCCCTATGAGTTGACTCATGGGTTTGTCAACATGTTTTATTCAACTGTGATGACTCACTAGACTGTTATAAAGTGAGCACAGATTAATGACCTGTTTAACCCCTTAACGACACAACTTCTGAAATAAAAGGGAATCATGATAATCATGTGTCCTTAAGGGGTATAAAAAAAAAAAAAAGTTGGCCTACACTATCTGTTTATTTAATACACAATAACATAGGTCAGGGCTTAAAATGTTGCTATAACCCTTTTGAGAGGATGCACCTAGCAGGTGTACTGTGATGAAGGTCCCCCATCTCAGTGTGCTGTAAAACCTGCAATAAAGGTTTTTATGTACTTTTGTCAGTAAATTTTCATCTCATTGTGTGTTGGATGAATTCCCCAGAAGAATACATGATTTATTTTGGCAAAACTTCCAATATAAAGTAGTTTTTCTGTGTTTTTTTTTATTTTTATTTTATTTTTTTGCTTTCCATAGAAAACTTGCCAGATCCTGGAAAAGCACAAGATTTTGTCAAGAAATTCAATCAGGTTTTGGGTGATGATGAGAAACTGAGGTCTCAGTTGGAACTGTTAATAAGCCCAACATGTTCGTGTAAGCAGGCAGATGTGTGTGTGGTAAGGAAATTGCTTCTTGTTTTTCCACTATATATTGTAATTTCATTCAATTTATGCATTGTCGTTTTTATATAAACTAGTTATGAAAAACATGACTAGTCTATTTGACATCTTTTTAGAGTGTAATTTCAACAAGATGTCAGGGCACACAAGCCATGGAACAAAGCAGCCTTTTATAGTAGCAAGTTAAAAGACAATGTTTTTACTCCACATTAGAGTCTTAACAAAGAACTTTGGTATTGAGTTGAAACTTTGTCTTTTGGCTTGTTCTTATTAAAGGCTGCTTTGTTCCATGACTTGTGTGCCTGACCTTTTTTTAAAATTGAAATTGGCCAAGACTGGGGGTATGGATTCCGATTTTTATGTGTGCAACCCCTCTGGTTTATTTTTTATAGAGAAAGTAGGCTGCCGAGTGTGTCTTTTTGTTTTCCTGACACTGTCTTTTTTTTTTTTTTTTTTAATTTGTATTTTATTGAATTTGTAAGTATGACTGGCATACAAAAAGTAAAAGGAGGGGGTGGGTGGGGTGAAAACCAAAGAGGTGACCAGCTTGAGAATACATTACATAACATTAGACATAGTATCAAAGACATACATCACATTTGCAACACCATACTGGTAGTCAACCATTACATGTCTTCTCATTTGTGGAAGTCCCTGTGCACCTGGAACCTTTGTGGAAACCGGGATGCCAGTGTGAAACGGTTGAGCAGTGCTACAGTGCTGAATAGGGAAGGAACCTTGACTACAGTAGGGTTTCTACTCCATTGGTTCAAATATCATCACTGTCATTTGCTAATTATGGATTGGGCTGGATTATGTCAGGAGACTTTTTAAGGCCATTATTCTCAGTTGTCATCCTCGCAAATACTTTTTCCCTGCATGGGATTTGGCTTTAGTCCTCAGAGCCCTTTGTGAAGCTCCTTCGAGCCGCTTGAAGTCTCATACAAATTATCATTGAAGACTTGTTTTTTGTAGTGATCACATCTGCCAGGAGCATAGGAGAAATTCAAGTCTTGTCTTGTTGCAGAAAATGGTGCTATCTTTCATTAAGATATGGTTTTGGATGTAACACCATCCTAATTTCTACCGAATGTTCTGTCTTAATCAAATGTTTACCCTGTAATTTAGGTAGTAGGCATAAACTTGGCCATTTTCGCCACCTCTCCAAAACTCTTTTGCTGGGTAATGCAATTGGTGTCTTGTCGACATATCTAAGTACTATATGCTTTCTGTTACTTTTGTGGCAGACCTCTGCAAACGCTACAGTGTGTGTGCTGTCTCTTTTTTCTAATTTGTGTTAAGTTAAATTAATATTTTCTTTAAATCTCTACAGAAGTGTAAGCTCCACATTCTGTTTGAGGGGAATTGTGTACCTTTTTACCTTTTGTGTACCTTTTTATAGAGTATGTACTTTAGCAAAAGAACGAGCAGATAGTGATACATGTATAAATATATATCAGAATTGTAGAAATTTACATTTTCTAGCTGTTTTCCTGCATTTAGTTGGGTGAAGACCAGGAGTGTGGGGTTCCCTTTTCCCATTCTTTTAAACTGAATACAGTCAGAAATGTATTGGTGTTGCCAACTCCTTTTCTCACTTTGTTTACTATTTTTTTCTTCAGTTTGTGTTAAAAATAAGTCTTAACATTAAGGCAATCATTTTATTTCATTTTAGAGAGAAATTGCCCGTAAACTTGCAAATCCCAAGCAGCCTACAAACCCATTCCTGGAAATGGTAAAATTCTTGTTGGAAAGAATTGCTCCTGTACATATAGATTCAGAAGCAATCAGGTAAGTCCTGGTGTAATTCATAATTTGGGCAGGTGCAGCATGACTTGTCAATAGATGATTATTGCAGATAACCCCATATATTCTTTCTGACTGCTTTGGAATCAGTGATATTTTTCTAATTAGATTAAGCTGTCCTTCTGTAGAAATACATTTGGTGACCATATGGGGTTCTTTTAGTCACCATCTGTAATACCAGAACATTAGTTAAACAATGCTAATTGCTTTGCAATAAGTTAGGTGGGGGTGCATTGTCATATATCTATCCCAAAGTCCGAAGCTACTATCGAGGCCTGAAATGTTTGCCATTGGAGATATACATGTCCTGTTCTGACAATCCCACACTGGAAGTTAACTTTCTCTTGGCTGGAAAGCTATTTATATGCAACACCAAAGCATACTTAGTTGAGCCTCCTGTGTCCTCATTCATTCAAAACCAACAACAAGCAAATGTGCAATTTTCTTGTCCATTTACAATTAATCCCTGCTGCAATGTAGATGTTCATGGGAGATGGGACAGAGCTACATAAGAAATCTGTTTGACTGTGAGATCTCTATGTGCTGAAGATGTGCGCCTGAAACAAGCATGTCCTGTGTCCTTTTTTATTTTTTTTTATTTTTTTATGTGGTATCTCTGCAATGCTTTACAAAAGGTGATACGTTCCAGCCTGTAGTGCCACTTTAAAAGATTCCGCATAAACCACTCCGACAGAGATTTATTGTGTGCAATGTATGCATTTTGTGAAAGGAAAATGGTTGAGTTAAATTTCCCAGCATGCTATGTACATTTTTCTATATGTGTTTTTCAGTGCTTTAGTGAAGCTGATGAATAAATCAATCGAGGGCACAGTTGATGATGAAGAGGAAGGTGTAAGTCCTGATTCTGCTATAAGAGCAGGACTGGAACTACTTAAGGTGTGTGTTCAACAAATTAGACACTTTATTAATTTCAATAATCCACATGTGTAGTTATAATTTACTCTGAACTGTTGTGGTAGCTCAATAAAGTTTATCAGGATTTTTATTAAAGGAAAACTCCAGTGCCAGGAAAACAATCCGTTTTCCTGGCACTGCAGGTACCCTCTCCCTCCCACCTCCCATCCCAGGTAGCTGAAGGGGTGAAAAGCGTCGCTCCTCCCAGTAATCACGTCAGCCGGTGGGCGAGACTTATCCCGCCCGCCGGCTGACATAACCTAATGCGCATGCGTGGCAATGCCGTGAACGTGCATTAGGTCTACTAGACAGCATTAGGTCAATGCTTTCCAATGGGGAATTGAGTGACGCTGGAGGTCCTCACACAGCGGGAGGACGTCCAGCGACGCTCTAGCAAAGTCTTAAAAAAAGTCTTAAAAAATCTTTGCTATGAATCAGGAAGTGCCCTCTAGTGGCTGTCTAGTAGACAGCCACTAGAAGTGGAGTAAACCCTGCAATTTAATTATTGCCGTTTATAAAAAACTGAAATAATTACAGTTGCAGGGTTAAGAGTAGTGGGAGTTGGCACTCAGACCACTCCAATGGGCAGAAGTTGTCTGGGTGCCTGGAGTGTCCCTTTAAGAAGTCAGTACCTTTTTATAAAGCAAATAAAGTAGCTTTAAGCTGGGCATTAGTATGTCAGTTCTGCCTTATTCAGACATGCAGGCCCTATCTTATTATAGCGATCTAGAAAATAAGTGGGTACTTTAAACATGGCTCAAAATGTCCTATGCTACTAGCCAGGCCTTGAAAGTTACTCACCACTGGGAAGAATTTAGTGAGAAATGTTGAGTCGTGATGTAAATATATCATAGAAAGTTAAACAAGTACTCCAGGCTAGTGTTTGAATGCCCCATATTCTTATAGTTTTATTTTTATGCCTAACTGATATGCTGCATAAAAATGTTAGAAATAAAAAACATTATACTTTAAATTACCTCAATTTGCTTCAGAGTCCCAGGGTTTACATTCTTGTTTTGCGTTTATGTTCTTGTTTACGGTGAATATGAATTGTCCTTGAAATATTTGTAGGCTTCTTGACCTATATCCACACTGAAATTAGTAGGTTAAAGGGGCCTTATAAATTCCAAAACGGCTACATATTATTGCAACCTTCAAATGTTTTTGGCACAAATGTTTTTGGTGTAAAAAGACCCAGCAGCTAAGGAGCTGATAGGAAATGTGTTTAGAGTGAATCATATATTTTAACGTTAACTGATGTCAGCATTCCAGTTAGCTACTGCTAAATGTTTGCATTACTTTGGAATTTAAAGGTTTATTTAAAAATGTGACTGTTTTTAAATAATAAAAATATGCTTGAAAACATTGTGTTGTGTGATAACTATAATCAACTAGGCATTATGACTAATTTTCTGCGTTTTAATTTCTTTTAACATGTAGGTCCTGTCCTTCACCCATCCTACCTCATTCCACTCAGCTGAGACATATGAATCTTTCCTTCAGTGCCTCCGTATGGAAGATGACAAAGTAGCTGAAGCCGCTATACAAATATTTCGGAATACAGGGCACAAAATAGAAACTGATTTACCGCACATCAGATCGTAAGTATTTATTTTACTTTTATTATTCTATTTTTTTTTTACACTGAAATTAATGTCATCACATATTTTGTCTTCTTAGAAAATTCTGTTTTTGTAACATACATTTTTTCCGAGACACTGCAAGATTAAGTAGTAGTTTGAAGGGACATTCCAGACCACTAAAGAATTTCAACTTGCTGGAGTGCTTTGTGTGGGTCCATTTATTAATGTATTTTTTCCCCCCCTTTATTTTACAAAAAGCTCAGCTTTCAATAGACACCGGCCCTTTTATAAACCTTGTTATATCCTCCTGGATGTCAGACAACTGGTCCTGTTGCTTCTTGTTTATTTAGCTCAGTGGCGCAAAACTCAAGAGGCAGCAATTGCCCAGAGCAGTTGCATTGTGTAATCTGTGATTGGACAGCTGCCGAAAGTCTTGGCTGGGTTAGAAGGGGAGTGCTTGCAAAGTCTTTAGACAAGGGATCTGCACTTTTAAAAACAGTTTTTAGATACACCCCAATTAAATAATGCAAAATTAAGGCATGCATTCTCCTGAAGGTATTTGTATCCTTTGTACGTTATTGGATTCTTTCTTGTTTTGTTCTGTTTTTTTTTTTTTTTATCTTTTTATGCAATACTTGGTACTTACAAAATGTATATGGTATCTGAAATATTTTTAGACTCCGATGCCTTTAGTATCTTATAAATATGAGACCATGTATTAATCTGCTGCTTTTTACTTGTTATATTTTGTGCTGATTCGATAAAAATTGTTAAATTAAAATAAAAAAATGCATGTTTTCGTTGGGGGTATATCTCCTAGACAGGTTTTTAAAAATTATTTTGTATATAGGCAGTGTAGTGTCCCCCTTAATGCTTTTTTCAAAACATACTTTAACATTTGTGAGCCTGTCTGCTTCAGTCTGAGTCATTATTCTCCATAGACCAGTATTTGTCCCCACGTATAGTGTCTGTGGGGTTGTTCTTTATCGTGTTGGACTAGTACTCCTCGAAATAGGTAAAATAGTAAAACAAACTGCTCCCTCTCATTCCTTTCAAAGGTTGTCCCAGACTGAGCACCTCCGTTCTTATTTGTCCCGTGAGCGGGGCGTACTGGTGCTCCTTGAACAGAAATGGTGAAACACACAGGCTGATGCTTGGTGGTATGTGCCCTGATAGCTACCCATGTGGTGAGCTGCATGATTTTCATCTCCAGATCATCCAGTATCATGGAGTGCCGCAACATGTTCTGATTTATAGGAATTTCCGGGGGAGGATGCTAAGAGGTGGTCCCGGGTGGCAAGCCAATCACCTGGGTTGCCTTGCATTCGACTGAAGTTCTGCTTGCCCTACTGAGCACGCAAAATCGTAATTTCAATTTTGGTGAAAAAAATGTGTACCAGATTAAAAAAACCTGCTTTACATTTCCTGTTGTTCGTACCCTTCATGGAAAAGAATACAGAGGCTTTACTGTCAGACACACTTGTTCTGTTAAAAAAAAAAAAGTTTTTTTGAGAGAGTTTCCAAACAACCAACATTCCAAGAGGTTTATTCAAGGTTGTTCCTGGTTCCAAAGCAAGGCCGGTGCTAGACTTAAAAAGGTGAACACGTATAGTCAGTACCAAAGGTTCTGTATGGAAACCGTCCTGTCAGTCACTCAAATGCTTCAAAAAGGAGACTTTGGGCAACTCTTGATTTAAAACATGCATACTTGCATGTTCCTTTGGTAGTTGCTTCATGAAAGTATTTAAGGTTTGCCATCAAATCAGAAAAAATAAATCCCACGCCTTACGATTTGCCTAGTCTCTGCATCAAGAATATTTTCTGTACCATCAGGAAAGCCATGATCTTATCTGGCATCCTCACTTTCTTTATTCCAGCAGTGCAGTGGGTAAAAGTACAGATGTGACCTGCAAAATTGGTCAGGAGAAAATGATCTGAAAACAGAATTAAGAGTCCGAAATCCACAGCTTGTCTTTCCAGCAAAAGGAGTGGATTACTAATACAACAGAAGAGTCAACCTAATCCTCCATATCAGTGGATGACTTCTGTTTTCAACGCACTTCTAGAATTCAAGCCACGGCTCACACCCTTTGTAGTCCGAATTCAGTCGGACAATTTTACAACAGTCCACTATATAAACAAACATGGTGGAACAAGTCGATCTCTGCATCTTCTTTGTGCTCATATAATGGGAAATCAATCATTGCCTCTTACATCAAAGATGTGGACAATGTGATGACCTTAGCAGAGGGCAGTGGTCCCAAGCAGAATGGTCCTTACACCCAAGAGTGTTTGCCACCCTAAATTTCCTGTAATAAGAGCTTGCTGCTGGACTTAGGGTTTCTACTGCAAAGGTTCAAATATCATCACTGTCATTTGCTAATTATGGATTGGGCTGGATTTTGTCATGAGACTTTTTAAGGCCATTATTCTCAGTAGTCGTCCTCACAAATACTTTTCCCCAGCATGGGATTTGGCTTTAGTCCTCAGAGCCCTTTTGTGAAGCTCCTTCGAGCCGCTTGAAGTCTCATACAAATTATCATTGAAGACTTGTTTTTTGTGGTGATCACATCTGCCAGGAGCATAGGGGAAATTCAAGCCTTGTATTGTAGCAGAAAATGGTGCTATCTTTCATTAACATAGGGTTTTGGATGTAACTGCATCCTAATTTCTACCAAATGTTCTGTCTTAATCAAATGTTTAATTAGCCTAGTATTCCTCCATTTTGCCAGATCCTTCTAAAGAAACAAAACTACACCTTTTCTGGACATCAAAAGGGTAATGGAGCTCTATATCAAGAGGTGTTCTGTTTTTAGGATACCAGACCATGTATTTGTCAATTTCCAAAGTCCATATGAAGGTATAGAGGCATTTAATTTACCATTGATAGGTGATTGACACAATCAGGTTGACATATGAAGTTAAGCATCTCAAACTACCTCTTCTAGTGAAGGCACACTACGCTAGAGCTGTGGCGATATCTTGGGCGACTAAAGCTTCATCTTCAAGAAGATACTTGCAAAGTAGCTATGTGGTTATTTAATACTTTTATACAGCACTACTGGCTCGAGATTTCCTTCTTTCTCAGAAGCTGCTTTTGGGTGCAAGGTGCTCCAGGCAATTACCACCTGATTTTTTTTCCACCCATTTGGGATCTTGCTATAACTCACAGGTACTGCCACTATATGTTTAAAAAACAGAAATTTTACTTATTGGAAATTTCTCTCCTTTTATATTTGTTGTAGTATGGTGTGGTTTCTTGCTACTTCTGGGGTTCTCGGTTTGAGGCAACCTTTTAAAGTTATGAGAGGGAGGGAAAGTGGCTTGTTTTATTATTTTAACCTTATTTCTAGGAGTACTCGTCCACCATGTTTAAAAATATCTCTACAGGTACTACCATTATAATTTCTGGTAAGAATAATTTATGATAAGTAAAATTTCCGTTTTCACTTGGTAATTCAGTCTAGTGGATGTAGACAAGGCTATTGTAATCTGGTTGCATCTGGTTTAACCCATTTATCACATGTTTATTTTATAGGGCACTTATTCCAATTTTACATCAGAAGGCCAAAAGAGGTACCCCACATCAGGCTAAGCAGGCGGTACACTGCATCCATGCCATCTTCTCCAATAAAGAGGTGCAACTTGCACAAATATTTGAGGTAATATTCTTTACATTTAGTGTAATTGACTTTTTTTCTCTAATGCTTATTTATGAATTGTATGTTGCTGTTAATGGTACAAAATGCACAACAAGAAATACATACTAATAAATTTTATTTTAACACTATTAGGATTAGCGTTGGGAATACAAATCTGTAATGCCTAAATTAAGTGTTTTCCTTTACACAAGGTTTAAGGTCCCCCTCTAGCTAAATAAAACATGACTGTGATCAGGTCAGGCAGCTGCATAACCCACCTCCTGAGATGTCATGCTGACACTACTTTAATCCAATCCAATTCTCCTCATAGGAAAGCACATACACGTCCAGCTCTCCCCATGACAGTCAGTGTGCCTTCAATGGTCCTTTTAAAAGGAATACAAAATTGTCACCCAAAGTACAATTGTACAGGTGTACAATAATGAAAGCCAATCTAATTTTGGTACATATATTAGCAAAGCTGCTTTACTTAAAATGCTAGATGATACTGCTTAATCTACTTTGTGATGTTAGCCTGTACATTTCTATGCTTTAAAGATTTTTAATGAGTGGAAGCTTTTTTCTTTTTCTTTTTTTTTTTTCTTCCTCCTCTTCTTCAAAAAAGTACTTGGGATTTTCTTGACCTATGCTTTGCAGTTACCTGAATGTGAAGAAACCAAGTTTTAACATTATTTTAGTGCGGTTTTATTACGTATGTTTTGGGTAAATTGATAAATAAGATATTCACACTTGGTTTGACATAATTAGCAAAGTGCTGTCCTTTCGTGTTTTTCATTGCTGATGATATCACTTCCTGTGCTTACTGTTTCAAGGATTTTTGATTTTATAGCATCTTGAACCTCAGATCTTTTCTCTTTTCCAGCCTCTCAGCAGAAGTCTGAATGCAGATGTACCTGAACAATTAGTAACACCTTTAGTTTCTCTAGGACACATTTCTATGCTAGCACCTGACCAGTTTGCTTCCCCAATGAAATCTGTGGTGGCAAATTTCATAGTGAAGGATTTACTCATGAATGACCGGGTGAGTCATTAAATAGATGCATTTATGATGTGTAACATTTTTATGAATGTATCCCATGTTTTGTACATTTTGTAAATACTTAATTTCCTTTTGTAGTCTAACGGTGACAAGAATGGCAAGCTTTGGTCACCAGATGATGATGTTTCACCAGAGGTTCATGCTAAAGTAAGGCTTACTATTCAATTGCTGTTGTAATTATTTCACTTTCAAAGGTTTTGTTTGTTTTTTTTACACGTTTTGTTTTACCAGAAAGTATACTGTGTGACTGGAGTACAGTACTATATTTACAATTCACCTGTTGTCATAGACCATAATAAGCAAAATGTACCCAATAAGGAATTTTACATAACACACTTATTTGTCAATATATTCAAACTTATAAACGGTAACTTGGCAACCTCCAGCTCTCCAGATGCTTTGCCATCATTATGGCTGTAAGAACATTATGGGAGTTATAGTACATAACACCTTAAGTGCCAAAGGTTGCATACCCATACCTAACTCCAGCGCCGATGTCCCTTATCGCATGGTTGTGCTCTGTCAACTTCAGCCAATGGGGGGAACCGCATGCTTGGCAAGCGCCAAGTGCTCATTAGGCCTTCCCCATAGGAAAGCATTGACTTAATGCTTTCCTGTGCGTTATTTGAAGACTCAAAGCATGAGGACGCCCAGATATCACTTCACCTAGTCAAACTCCGTGTAAATGCAGGAAGCGCCTCTAATTAGACTATAACAAGTTTTGCTAAAATTGCAATGTTTTATATTGCTGGGTTAGGGGAACAAGGACACTGCACCTTTCCAATGAGATAAAGTTGGCTGGGTGCCTATAGTGTCATTTTTAATGGTTTAACCATGGGTTAAATACATAATTCAAATACAACTGGCAACATATTAATACTTTTATATCACATTAATTTTCTAATGCACAAATAGGGAGATGCATGTAAATTATACCCAATTTAAAAGTGACACACAGTTCTAAATGTGAAACGGTTTCCAGTGAAATGTCCTTGCTTATTGGTTTTCATTTGATTTCTTAACTTTTAGAACTTTTAACAATTTTAATATTTCATTGTAGCTGTAAAAGTTTGTACATTTTATTATTGTTTATTCACCCGTAGGTGCAAGCCATAAAGCTATTGGTGCGTTGGCTTTTGGGAATGAAAAACAATCAGTCAAAGTCTGCAAACTCTACTCTGCGATTGCTGTCTGCTATGCTTGTCAGTGAAGGAGATCTGACAGAGCACAAGAGAATTAGGTGAGGTTTCTTAAACTCTTACGCTTTATATTTATTATTATTGGAAAAGTTGTACTTATTTGCTACTAAGAGACAGAGTAAAGCGTTTTGTTTTTTATTTTCAGTAAATCTGATATGTCTCGTCTGAGGTTAGCAGCTGGAGGTGCCATCATGAAACTAGCCCAGGAACCTTGTTACCATGAAATAATCACACCAGAGCAGTTTCAGCTCTGTGCTATGGTGATTAATGTAAGTGGCATTACTCTCATCTATGAAATGACCTTTGATATGGTCAGTGTGGTGCACATGCACAACTGCTCAGCTTTGTTCCTGGAATTTATTTGCATGGCATCAACAAGTTCTGTCATGTTGGTGCATAGAGAATTGGTCATGACCTAATCCAATACCATGTAAACATAGGGTATAAATTGTAGTGGGACATGAAACACAAGTTACCATCTAGTACCAGATATGTTTTGATTAGCTTACAGATAATGTTGGTGAACATAGCATAAGAAAAGTGAGGTAGCTGTGAAAAAGAGAATCAAGTTAAAATTCAGTTCAGATACCAATGGAATTCCCAAACAATGCTTATTGTTACTACCAAAAACTGGAACCCTGCAAGAAATAAATTGAGTGTAGACTGGAAGAGGTGATGCATTGTAAGAGAAGCCAGTTTGTTAAGTAAGACATGAGTCAAGCTATGGATGACATTAGTGCGCACACAATAGAAAAATTACTTAGGTTTATGTTAATTTATTTCCATAAAAATAGAGTGAATCAGTTGAAACCAGATTCAGGTTTATGCATTGGCTAAGTGGATATACTGAGTTTTCTTTCACATTGCACTAATTTCTTCTCTGATGTGATGCATACATGTAGTATATTGAGCAATGTGTGTGTTGCCACGAAATACCCATTTTACATGTCTTTACTGTGTTTTTTTTTTGTTATATAGGATGAGTGCTACCAGGTGAGGCAGATCTTTGCACAGAAGCTCCACAAGGCTCTTGTGAAGCTACAGCTTCCACTTGAATACATGGCTATCTTTTCCCTGTGCGCCAAGGATCCTGTGAAAGAAAGGAGGGCTCATGCCAGGCAGTGCTTACTTAAAAATATCAGCATACGACGGGAGTACATTAAACAAAATCCAATGGCGCATGGTAATTTTTTTTTTTAATATATATATATATATTTTTATTTTTTTTTAATGAGTTTTGCATATGGAGGTATACATCCACGTCAAAGTATGAAAAAAACAGGGAATAAAATTAAGTATACTGTTACGTATAGTAAATAAACTGTAAGTGCAGAAGAAACAATCATGCAAGGTATTAGCATAGAGTTCCTTTATGATCCTGTCCGAGAAATATATTATCACAGGTAAATCAGCTGTTAAGCTAAGACAGAGCTATTAGTGGAAAGACAGTGATAAGTGGGCAATTAGGAGTAGTGTAATGTCAGCAAGCCTATCCTCCTCGTTAAAATCCGCGTCTAAGAACTGCGTTCTTGGTGTGCTCGGGCTAGGTCAAGTGCCTTCCCGTGGGTCTCTGTGTGCCTCATCTTGGGTACTCCTTGATGTTTCTACTTCTGCAGGTTCTGGATAAATGTCTCAAGGTAAAATCTATAAGGCGGTATAAGTGCAAAACCTACACCTATAAGTGGAGTACTGAGAAGATTGCAGGGTACACTTACCCCATATAACATGATAGCAAGCTTGCTATGCAATACATGTGAAAAAAAATAGAAAAGGCAATATAGTGCAGATGGTACGTAAAGATAAAATTAGATATAATGGTGGTGAAGTGGAACACTCACATTTAAAGTAGCCTGTATGTGAACACTGGCTCCGCAATCAGGCTTGTATGCTTTTAAGGCAGCATCACACCTACACTCCACGATATGATGTATCTCAAAGATAAAACATAGAGAGAAGGGAACAAATGTGCAGTCTGTCTCAAATGGTGCAGTGGTGAGATTAAGTAAAGTGCTCACCTCAAGGTGATGCCCCAAAACAGTTCCATAGAAAACAAGGCATGAACAGTCTGTCAGCCACGCTCCCATGCATGGTAACTTATTATTTACAATGTATCCCAGCCGGTAAAACATTTTTTTATTCAATTTATTATAAGCAGCTCTGTCAGTCGTATTTTTTTTTTTTTTTTTGCTTGAATTGCAAAGACTTCCATAGTTGATTTTGCTGCTTAGTGGCCACAGGGTGTGTAGAGGAAAGTGTGTTTTACTCACAGCTGCCTCCATGCTCTTACTGCTGGTGTTCCTCTTCAACTCATCTGCCGGGAGCCAATGTACGCTTTGTATTATTTTACTGAGGTCTATGGAGGAGAATGTAGTGACCTCCATAGATATTGTCTCATGATTACCGACAAAATTAGGCAAAGAAAAATACATAAGGCAAAGTAGTTCCCACAGACAAAAATATTGAAGTGAGGTAAGTGTAGGATTACAGGGTTGCTTTAACATTAGAAATAATTCACCTTTTTTGTTCTTATTAAATAAGACACAGGCAAACGTACTGACATGCACACTGCTTGTTTCCATACATTAAAAATGTATGAAGTAAAGTATACTGTCTGTAGTCTGCCCTTTTACCTTATTTAAGTGCTTCCCATACTCTTCATCCACCTCTGGTCTGCCCTCACCTCACTCCTCCAGAATTTTTTGATTTGCCCTCCTTGAGGACCCGAAACCTCCTCAGTGACCCTGACATGCGGTCTTATTTGCCAGTGGTTGCAGTGCTGGCTAGAGAGGTTTTTTTTGTTTTTGTTTTTGTTTTTTAAAGCAACCATGCCTTGTTTGGGAGAGAAAAAGGACTACCTGTGGGTGGACTTTTCTGTTCTCCCTTGTCTGTCAGCATAGAATTTATTCCACAGTTTTGGCTGGGAAGTGGAAGAATACCTCAATGTATAGATGAAAGGGACGGAGAGGTGGTTTACAGACATCTTTTTTTACATCCTCTTGTTAAATATGTATTGTGTAAGAGTTTGTATATCTGTTAATTTATTAAAATATTGTGTGAATAAATGCAATTGTTATCTCTTTTAGAGAAGCTTTTGTCCTTGCTACCAGAATATGTTGTCCCATACATGATTCATCTCCTGGCACACGATCCAGATTTTACTAAGCCTCAGGATATTGATCAGCTGCGTGATGTAAAAGAGTGAGTTTTTCATGCATTAAAATGAAGTTTCTATGCCCCACTATACTAATACTTAATAACAGAACACATTACTGCTACTTTGTGAATTTAAAATGTTAATCTGTTCACATTGAAGTAGTCATTCTAGTTATACTTGAATTGTTGATTAGCTTGTAGATACCCTAAAATAGAAAATGATTTATTGGATGGGCTGCTTGCCATTAAATGTAGCAAGATCATGATCAGATTCTATTCACTTACATGCACATCTGCAGCTTTATCTGCCTATAATTCAGTGCAGCATGTCTCCCATATTTTTACTGGCACTGCGGTTTTTGCTTTATTCCCTGTTTGTTATGGTTAAATATAGATTAGTTTCTCTCCCCCTCCCCAAAACTATGGGAATTGGGGAGGAGGGGGTCTGAGGCTATGGTTGATTCAATTGACCTCATTCTATCTGTAATCTCATCTTGTTGAAATGGAATTGATTCTTCGAACAAAAATACATATATATGTAGATTGGAGTAGTTGTGTTAGTCCAGTGATGTAGATTCCAAAATAACATGGGTATTGCAGTACACAATTATACTTTTTGGGGGGGTTGAGGGGGGGGAGGGTGCAAGAATTGAACACTACATATTAATCGGAAAGCTGTTTACATTAGATCAAAAGTAATACTGATCAATATAGTGGAACTTAACATTTGAAACTTAAGACACAAGTGATAGACTGATTAAGGAAAGCGAGAGTGGTTTAATATAAATAGAAGGCTGTCCTGAGAGAGGAACAGGGGTAAGGAAGAGCCAAAATAAACAGTCATGTAAACCGTATTAAATCAGACATATAAACTTTAAAAAAAAAATCTATATAATAAGTCCAGTAAGGGGTGGAAGTTGTTAAAGACTCAAACATATCAGCAAATCTGTATAGATTAAAGTGGGTTACAGATTGTAGAAGTGTATGCCACGGTTTAACATTTCCACTAGCCATTTGCAAGTGCCAATTTAGCACTGTCAAGCAGAAATTCACTCATGGTCAGTGTGTAAGTTATATGAAATTCATGGTGTGACAAAAATTCCTAATCTGCATATAGTAATTCATGTATTGCAGCATTCAGTATTTTGTAGCTATTTATTTGTTTATTTATTTAAATACAAGGTGTCTATGGTTTATGCTTGAAGTTTTAATGGCTAAGAATGAAAATAACGGTCATGTCTTCATGAAGAAAATGTGTGAGAACATTAAACAGACCCGGGATGCCCAATCACCAGATGATCCTAAAGCAAATGAAGTGAGTATTTCTTTTTTGAGTTATTTTGCAGCTATGGTTTTAAAGACTTGAGCATGAACATCTTACAAGTAAAATAGTGGCTTTTATATTAACGGGGACTTTTAAGACAATGTATTCTAAATACATCGACATTAATGATTATATGGTCCCCTTTAACAGCTTTCACTCTTCTGGGAAGGCTTTCAAGAAATTTTTTAGTGTTTCTGTGGGAATTGTTGCCCATTCATCCAGCAGAGCATTTGTGAGGTCATGTGCTGATGTTGGGCAAGAAGGCCTGGTTTTCAATCTGTTATAGTTCATTCCAAAAAAACTGTTTTTGATGGGGTTGAGATTAGAGCTCTGTGCAAGCAGTCCAGTTCTTCCACACCAAACTCATCCAACCATGTCTTATGGACCTTGCTTTGTGCACTGGGACACAGTCATGCTGGAATAAACAGTCGTGCATTGAATAAACCACCTAACATCTGACCAATTATTGTTGTATTTTTCTCTGTTATCTGTAATTATGCATGTGATGTATTTGTGCTCTATAGGGGGCTCCCCACCCCCTGATTAAACAGTCCTGAGTATTTCATCAACCGGGAAACGTGTCTGGTGTGATTTGCTTTGGAAAGCATGCATGCACCATAACCAATTTGAAAAGGGGCAGATACACAAAAATGATCAAACACTTGATTTGATCCTTATCACCTATAAAAGTACCACTCTTGAATTCACTGAGCTTTTCAGAATGACCCATTTTTGCACAAATGGGGTCTGATTGAAATTCCATAATAAACTTTTTTCCATATAGTGTATATAGTTAAAGTGTGTGTGGTAGACCGTATTTGAAAATGTTATTATTTTTTTCTAGAAACTGTACACTGTTTGTGATGTAGCGCTCTGTGTCATGAATAGTAAGATCACCACCACTCATGCTGAAGCTCCAAAGGACCCCGTATTACCTACCAGATTTTTTACACAACCAGAAAAGGTGATGATTTGTCTAATATTTGCTTGTGCAATGTATGAGATTAATTGAAAAATGAAACATGTAATAATGTGGCTAACTTGCTAAACATTGATTTGTGGTGACAATCAACTTCAGCAGGGTTATTTTGCAGCGGTGTCATTTTGTCCTTCATTTTTCTGTTCCATTATGTTTAGGAGAATTTATGGTTACAGGAGTAAACTCCAAGGTGTAAGATTATTTAAGGACCACTCCACACTCATAAAGCACTTCAGCTTGCTTAAGTGCTTTGTTTCCTGATATGCTCTTGTTAATTGTTCTTTATAGAAGTGCATATTTCTCTTTGAAATTGACATTTTTATAAATAAACTTCTGATTATGTTCGGGATTAAATTTGCTCCATTGAGTTGACAGGAGTGGCAGGCACACTCTTCCAAAACGCATCTGCCTTCACTCCAACATACAGTGTACCTGTAAGTACAGAGCTCATTTTACCAGTTTGTTAGTGGCTGGAAGCTGTGTGCACACTGGAAAGCTGAGCTCTTGTAAGTGCACATGTTTATAGCGCAAAATCAGAGGCTTATCACTGAGAAGACTGTTGTAAATTTTATCGTCACAAGTCTGTCCTGCGGATAAAAGGGGAATGTTTTTAAAGGCTGCAGACACTTTTTTCACGCTGTTGTTGGCTATACCTCCAGTGAAAAACTTTTATAAATACATGCATGTGTTTTTTGTTTTTCATTTGAGGTATATGTGCAAGACAGTATTTTTTATTTCTTAATTTATGTTTAAAAAAAAAAAAAAAAATATATATATATATATATATATATATATATATATATATATATATATATATATATATATATATAATTTTTTTTTATTTTTTTTTATTTTATTTTTTTCTCCATGGTGGTGTGGTCTCCATGTCTATGGGATATGTAGTTCAGCTCTCATAAGTAGTTCCATCCCTCAGGTGAGGTCAAAGAAACTGCTGCCTATGCTGATAGCAGCTGTGTGTAGGGCATTACTCACAGTTTTTTAAATAAAGCTGTAGATGCTCCCACAACCAACCTTTCTGGTTAATATCATTCGGCTGTGAAGGAGTTTTTTTAGATTTGTGGCAGTCATGCAGCATATGTATACATCGTAGGCACTTGGATTGGTTTGGGGGAAATATCCCCTTACTTCTGTGTGCATGAGTGAAGGTGTGGGCTAATAGCTGTTATTTTTGCAAACCCCTGCAATCATAAGGACATACAGTGTCTGTGAAAGCCCCATAGAAAAGCATTGAGGTGATGCTGTCCTATGGGGAGGGCCTAATGCACTCCGAACAGTATGGATTCCCTTTAAACATTGGTGGTTCTATGGATCTGAGTTGTTTTAGTGACTGACTTCTGTGAATGTGTTGGGGAAAATAATACCTTATTTTATCTTCCAGGATTTTTGCAATGATACTAGTTATATATCTGAGGAAACCAGGATTCTTTTGTTAACTGGAAAGGTAAGTTCAAAAAGTGTATCTTAACAACACTATATTCACAATTTGTCATGAGTTTTAGCAAAATTGTTCATAACTCTCATAGACCGTAGTGTGTAAAATAAAACTTTAAAGGTTATTCCTTGAACCCTAGCCAATACAGGTTGCTAAAGTTCTTTTTGAGTAAATGGCTGTCCCTTTTGTCTTAATTTATAAAAGTGCTTCTTTCAAGCACTTATTTTCCAAAGTGCTTATAAATGTCCTAAGATGCACCCTCCTGTCTGTCAGACAGTGGAAAGGGTGCTCTTCCTCAAGCTTCTCAGAGATAAGTATTAGATTGGCGAAGCTTTTAACATTTATTTTGAGTTTTTGTATTCTTTCCTTAATCATTTATGGGATCGATTTTGTAAGTGTAACTGTTCTAACTTTTGTTTCCATCTTTTACTTAGCCTAAACCAACAACCGTGCTTGGTGCAGTAAACAAGCCCCTTTCTGCCACTGGACGAAGACCTTACAATAGAAGCACAGGGTCTGAAACACTGAGTAATGTGAATGTCCTCATTGAGTCAGACTCACCAATTGGCATGAGGCAGAGGTATGTCCCAATTTGCCAACTATATATTGGAAAGCTAATACACAATGTAATTATTGAAATTGCTTGCTTCAGTAGCTTGACCTTTGCAATAGCCTGCAGTGGGTAAGATTTAGGACAATATTCAATTTGTGTGAACTGGCAACAGAACTCTGCTGTGACACAACTAATACAGAAGTGAACTACTGCCTGGCGACTGTGCTGAAACAGGGGCACAAACGAGCATATGTGGTGGGACTGTCCGTGTGTGAGCTCCTTTTGGAAGAGGGTGTCAGACATAGTGTCCCAGATCTTTCAAAGACATGTGGAATTGAACCCATGGGTATTTTTGCTGTCCAGGCCACTTAATGATTGGGTGGGAGCAGAGAAAAAAAAACACATTCACAAAATCACATTAGCAGCCAGAAATGCTCTTGCCCAATCTTGGTTTTAATCTAAAAACGCAACCCATAGAAATAGTGCTTTCGAAACTCAAAGAGAATTATTTGACGGAAAAATTAGCTGCCCCAGTAAGGGGCTTTATGAAGATATTTACAAAGCTATAGTAACTGTGGGAGATCTTCATGGGGAAAGGGTAGGGTGAGAGACAGGGTCTAGAGGCTTGTGGCTCTGCTTCTCCTGAAGGCCAACCCAGCATTTACATTTCAAACACTAGCTTTGCTGCTCTGCGTTCTCTGCCTTTCTACTCTGGGAGGTTTAGAGGAATGTAATACTGAGCTGGTATAAATATAGAGTGGTCCTTCTACAGAATGTACACTGTAATTATCAATATAGGTGCCCCAATGGAATGCGGAATGATGTATTGCTTAAAGGGATCCTACAGTGCCAGGAAAACAAACCCATTTTCCTGGCACTGTAAGCCCCTGTAGTGCCCCCCTCCTGCGGGGCTGAAGGGGTTAAAACCCCTTCAGCCACTTATCTGAATCCAGCGACGATGTCCCTGGGCACTGGGTCAGGTTCCGCCCGTGCTGACGAGACCTAATGTGCATGTGAGGCAATGGCTGTGCGCATTAGACCTCCCCATAGGAAAGCATTATTCAATGCTTTCCTATGGGGAAATCTGACACTGGAAGTCCTCATGCAGAGCGCGAGTCCGTTACGATTTCGGAAGCCCTCTAGTGGCTCTGTCAGACAGCCACAGAGGGCAGACTTAGAGCTGCAATGTAAACATTGTTTAACTTTGCAATACTAAGAGCGAAATGGTCATAGAACCCATACTATTTCAATTAGCTGAAGTGTTCTGGGTGCTTACAGTGTCCTTTTAATGTTATAACCTGTGAAAATTGATGCTACAATATTATCACTGTTTTGTGTTGATTTATGTATCACCTGCTATCCAAACTTAAAGAATTGGAGAGGGCAGGGGTTTGAGTGAACCACTGCATGGGTGGAGACCATGCCAGCAAGGCTCACTCCATCTAAATTCCGTGTTTCTTTTGTAAAAGGTTTCTTTTTGTGTCGTGTAATATAAAGCAGCTACTTACTGTTCAGAGTTTTGTTTTGTTTTTTATACGATTTGCATACAATATCATATCAACACATGTACTTGTGATATTTATTGTTGAAACAAGTGGGAAAATGTAGCTCATGTTTCTAAACAGAGCCTGCCTGCCCTGCTGATAACAATCAATATTTTTATTTCATTTGTCAACTTTTTCAGTTCTGAAGTGTCGAAAACCGGTGTTAGCGAAAATGATGAGCATCCTGTGAGAATTATTTCTGTCACTCCTGCCAAAATGGAGTCTGTCAAAAATAAGGTACTGTAACCTTGTTTTGTTTTGTATTTTCTCCTTCCCCCTTTGGGTTACATAAGTAAACCTCAGTGAACTGCCAAAATTCCTCCACAACGATGTGAGATACTAGTAAAGTCATACATAAAACGATTACTTTGTTATTGCTGCTAAAGGTGGTTCTACAAGCTGTTGATCATAAGAGGTACTTAGTTTTTCATATATGGCTTCTCCATTTTGACTTTAATTTTGTTAAATCATTACATGGTGTAATATGTCATGTCATGTTTAGTTTTTATCTGAAGTTGTATTTACCTAATTTAGAGAGAGAGAGAATTCAGATATATGCTAGTCTTTTTTCGGGGGCTAGACACAATATTCTGCACTGTTTCGAGAGACAGTAGAACTTGCATTAATAAATGTACATGGTTGGCAGGAGGTGAATTCAGATCAGACAGCACCAACTAATATTGGTACTGAACGGGGAAAGAAAAGATCTGCATCATCGCCAGGGACAGAAAATATACATAAGGAGTCAGAGGAGAAGAAAACAGAAGATCTTGGGCCTACAGCTCCACCTAAGCCAAGAAGAGGACGTCCACCAAAGTCTGAATCTCAGGGGAGTGCAGCAAAAACTGATGACCCCAATAAGCCAGCTGGAAGAGGTCGGAAGAGGGCAGCAGCCAATCAGGAAAGTCCTGGAGGTTTGGATGCAGGCAATGCAAAAGTACCAAAACAAGACAAAAAAACAGCACAAAGGCAAATTGACTTGCAAAGGTAATCTTTAGGGCTGTTTTTATTGAAGTGGTCTGGGTTTTTATCAATGTATAAAATAATACTGAATTATGCCAATTCCATTCTACTAGTTTAAAATACTATTATAATCTCAGGCTCTTCTCAGAAAAAGACGAATATATATTACTTATTGTTTACAAGGTACAGGACATTTTCCCCCTCAATGTCCCAAAGTGAGGAAAGTTAGTGACCAATGTTTTTTTGAGATTCCATGTATTTAATGGACTGTGCCACCCTGCTAGGAGATAATTACCATTTTAACCCTTTAAGGACACATGACATGTGTGACATGTCATGATTCCCTTTTATTCCATAACTTTTGTCCTTAAAGGGTTAAAGGAACATTCCAGGCGCCATAACCACTACAGCCTGCTGTACCCCTGCATAATCATACAGTAGTCAATCCATTTTAGTACAGTTTGGCAATTGGATCAGTGAGGTTACTTTAAAATTAAGAACGGTTGCCAAACTAACTACATATACATAATTTGAATCCCTGTCAAAAAAAAAAAAAAAAAAATATATATATATATATATATATATATATATATTTAAAATTAAAAAAATCTTGGCACTGATCCTATTTAAATGAAAAATGTTTTTTTTCGCCTGGGTGCAAACCTCAGCGTAAATATAAAACAAAAATAGATGAGAGGTGCACTCACAGGTCTTGATTCAAAGGTTCGTTTATTTACTGGTGCAAATTACATGTGCAGAGGAAAAAAATCTTTGATCAACGTTTCGACCCCTATAGGGGTCTTTTTCAAGAAAATATATATATATATATCAAAGATTTTTTTCCTCTGCACATGTAATTTGCACCAGTAAATAAACAAACCTTTGAATCAAGACCTGTGAGTGCACCTCTCATCTATTTGTTATATATATATATATATATATATATATATATATATATATATATATATATATATATATATATATATATATATATATATATATATATATATATATATATATATATATATATATATGTGTATATATATATATGTGTATATATATATATATGTATGTATTCACATATACACACACACACCTGTTTTTATATTAAGCATATCAATGGAAAACAAGAAATCCCATCTGAGTAAGGTTTGTTGTATTCTGACTGGCTGAAAATATGAAGCAGCCAATCGGAGATTTAACTGCCGTTTTCTAGCTGTTTTTAGTATCTGCATTATCTAAAATGGTGCTTCACCTGAGAGTCCCATAACTTTTATGTGCTTATTTATCATATCCAATATCATCATGGACTCATTGACTATTTGAGTTGGTTAAAGAAAGGCATGTTGCCATTATTATAATCAGATTCATTTCATGGTAATAAATACATAGTTTTCTTCCCAGCAGCCAGTTTCTAGGGAGTGAAGGAGATTCCTTGTGGGAGATAGAATCAAGTCCAGGATATTCTTCTGCTGATGCAGACCTGTTTAGTGAATGTGTGAGCAGTCAAGATGCAGAGGACACACAGCTAGAAGAAAGAGGATACCTGAAGGTGCAGCAGATAGTTTGAGTTTTTTGTTACTACATCAGCACCAGGAGTTTATCAGATGTTACCTCCCTGATTACACCATTTAACTAATAATTTTCCTTTCTTTCTTCATAATAACTCTTCGAATCATCCTCATCTGGATAATTAAATTGACACAACCAGAATTTCCAGATATGTATTCCTGGGTTATTTCTCAGCAGGTATGCATGGACAGACCTGATTAATATTGGTAGGCAGGTAGCAGTGGAGGCTGTTGAGGTTTAAATTTGACTTGTTGGCCTGTGCCTATTTAAACCTATGTTTTCAACCTCTGACCAAAGGGGTGGTCATGCCCTCACCGTAAAACTACCTAAAATTGGGAAACCACATCCACTTTAAAGAAGTCCATTTCCACCACCACCCATGTTACTACCCAATGAGAGCCCTAGAATGCAAAACAATACACAACCCTGTCTTTTGGGGTTTCTATAATGGGATGCCTTCATTCAAAGTCAATTAGAGATTTCAAAAGTCATGTTAGAGCATACTAAGCCTGTCTGTGCCTGTCCAGAGAATGGAACCTTTGTCAAAAATTCCTTTAACACGGTGATCAGCCTTGTTTTTCTGTTTGTTTTTTCTTCTTCCTATAGAATAATATATGTAGGTTCACTTAATTACTTAAATAACACCTATAACACAAGCATAATAGCACTGAGTGAAATTTAAAAACAATCTTTGAGAAAAATCCTCTTAAAACTGCTCTGTCAACTTCTGTGTACTTTGAATGTTTTCTAAAGAACCTCAGTGGCGACATCGCCATTTGGTTTGCTATGGCACAGGGATACAGGGAAATGTACCTGTCCCTCACAGCTGCTACCATCTTGATTGGTTGCATTCTCTTCCAAGAGTTGTCTTCAAAGCTGTATTCTCACACATGCACGAGAGTACACCACTGATCACTAGTGATGGCTGAGGGCTTGACACGTTCTGGTAACATACATAAGATAAAGTAGTCCCTTCTTTGTTTTATGATATATTTTGACTTAGCGTTGGCCATCACTGTCAATGGTTCATAGACATATTTGTGGAAGCTCTATCGATTGGACCCCATACACTGTATTTGATAAAGAGTATAGTTACACCCAGTGAACATGGCTGACAGGACTGATATTTAATAACATTTGTTTCTCTCTTGATTACAGATTGTGCTTGTAAATAGAAATGCTACATTTGTTTTAGTTGATTGTTGCTTATTCTGTTTTTATTTTCTTTAAAGGTAAAAAGAAAAGTCCTCTGCAAGGGAAGAAAATGAATGCCTGTTACTAGGCATGTTCTCCATACTTCAAAATCTGTTTTCTTCACAGATATATTAATTGCTTTCTACCTTTAATTATATAAACTAAAAAAAGAAACTGCTTTCCCAACCAGGAATCCTTTCTGCGGATCTGAAAAACTCACAAGGATAAATTCTCAGATTCTCTGAGACATTTTTTTTTCCTTTCCTTTTATGAAGATTTAAAGAAATATGTTGCTTAACACCATGATATTCTATTATGATGAAATGCAACAAAGCATTACATCTTTAACTCTTTAAATGGTCTGGCAGCACGTTAGACTGTCTGTGCTTTACTTTGCTTTACAAAACCCATCCAGGATACCTTTTAATGATTTTGTGGATATTCAAGCGGCTTACATTCTAGTGCGAATTGACTCCTGCTAATTGGAATTTAACTTTTGCTCTGCTGGAGCGCTTGAAGGCACACAACTTACCCAAGGAAAGGGAGCATTGAAGATATTTTTGCTTCATCTTTGGTAACTGTCTCATGTAAAGTTTGCTGCCACTGTGCTTTTCAAATAGAGCAAGATGTACAGTTTTTTTTTTCCCCCTTATTTTTGGGAGGTTAGGGTGTTTTTTTGTTTGTTTGTTTTTTTATTCTCTTGATTTGCAAAGTTACATGGTAGCAGATTTTCATACTTTTTATCAATTTCCCCTCCACAAAGTGGGGGGAAACTAAAATAAATTTTAGTCTGATTGATTTATGGACATTTCAGGAAACCATTTCTTTCATCTTTGTCATGTTCGGTTAATATAATTTTGAAAATGTACATATTGGTGTTTGTTTTATATTACATATATCACCTTTAAAATCCCCTTTTACGGAAGAGCTCTTGTTGGGATACTGTATGAACTGACAGTCTGGCGTTTGATTTTATAATGTTGGTCAGCAGATTTTTATTAACAATGTAAAAAAAAAATCAATTTTTTAATAGATTAAATTAGGCAGCTTTATTAAAAAAATAAATTTGAATATACTGGCTGTTCAATTTTTAGATATTTTGCCGTTCTGAATTCCATGGTTAAAGTTTTTTGTCTCCCTATCAAAACAAATTTTAAAGGTTTTTATTTTAGGTTACTAGGTTTGCACTCAGCATTTTGTCATAGATAGAGTGGACACTTATGTGTGCACCAAATGCTGTATGTACACAGTGTATGTACACATGGTCATATTTAAGTTTGTTGCATACAATAAACGCTTCTAGGTGTCATCTTGTGTTCATTATTTTTCTTTTTTTTCCTCTCCATCCTTCAACATTTACATGTACCTGTCACAGTTCTGTTTGGTTTCATTACTTCTATAAGGAGAATGTTTCATAAGCCTTGTAAAATAATCCCATCTGGTCTATGATTAAAGCATAGCGAGTACGATGTGGAAAAAGTGCACTTCTTGATGATACTAAATAAAAACGAACAAGTATAGCAGCTGCTCATCAGTATTTCTGATCTACAGCTGCAATATTTCTGTGCCACTGTGTCTGTGCATCCTTCCTCTTGTCAGGGACAAGAGTTGGAAATTTCAGGAAATATGTCACAATACCAGATGGCAGGGTTTCTTTTAATACCTGCAGAAAAAAGAAACTAACGTCTTCAAATTGCAGTTACATACGCAAGATTGATTGCCTTTGCTGCATGGAATCTATACATTTTTAGTTGACAAAGTAATAAGGCTGTGTAAAAAAATAAAAAAAAACCCAATAAAAAAGTAAAATTAACGCTGACTGCTCCCAATGCATTTGTTATTCCAATCCAGTTTTTAATTTCCAGTAAAACTAATAGACTGAAGTGACATTAATTGGGAATAATCTATAGAATTTATAAATGAGTGGTTTGGGAGGGGGTGCAGCCCATTTGACATTTGTACACCCATTCCTTTTATAATCTAGCTGCCTGAGCCCACGTTTTTCCACGGTTTGCTTTTTTTTATATATTTGAAGCTGATCGGCATACATTGTACTTTAAGGTACATCTTCTTCAAAGTGTCAGCTTTGTAGGTTTGCTTGTTTTTTTATATATCTATATATTTTTTTTTCCCCCTTTCCCTATATACCTTGTTTCTTATTGGTTATATCCTTCCCTGCACCACAATTTTATCCTCCTCTGTTTGAAGTAGGCAGTTTGCCCTTCTGTGGAATTTTAATCATTGATGGGTTGTGGGTAAATTAGCTCAGAGCATTTCACAATGGACAATTGTAAAAGATCATGTTCCGCCTACGAAATAGCAATCCCTATTTTAAAAATGGGGGGGAAAAAAAATTCAACATAGTAAAAACAAATGGTGATAGACAGAAATGCATTTTAAACCAAAACCTGTAAAGTGACAGTGTCCCTTTTGTGTGTATACATGTATTTGCAGTTAATTGGTAAGCAAATCGTAATCACTTAAAGTAAAGAAAATATTGTGATTTATATTTTGACATGAGATTATAGCATTCACCATCACTGTCTTTGTTTTTCTTTGTGTTTAATGAACATTTTATTTTCGTGGTGCAAACCCAATTTATATTAATGTGATAGGAATGATTCAGTCTATATTTCTGTGCAGGGCTGCACCAACCCCAAAGGCATTGCTTCTTTGAATAATTTGTTTTCTACTTCCCTAAATAAAATTTTGATAGGGCTCATGGGCAGCTACTAAACTCTTAATGACTTGATAAATATCCTCAAACTCTACGAACAGAGGCCAAAAGTTCTCAGCCAGACAAAAACAAGCAAGCACATGTTTTTGTTTGTTTTTTGTGGTTTTTTTTTTTTAGGGGTTTGGTGGGGAGGACTTCACTGGCCAAATACACACAAGGTATATATTTTCTTTGTAGATATACCCCCATGTAAACTATATATGCATTTAATTATGCTTTCTTTTTTTCTTTTTTTTTTTTCATTGAGGGTATATTTTTAAAAACTGCTTTTGAAAGCCGAAGATCTCTTCTGCAGCCTTTGCAAACACTCCCTAGACTGTTACTACCTAGACTTCTTTGACTGTCCAATCAGACTTTCCAACACGGCTTACTGAGAAGTCTGAGCTAAACAACCAGGAAGTAACTGAACTGGTTGTCTGAAAGCCAGGAGTGTGTATATAGATTATAAAAGTGAGAATGCGTATTGAAATCTGCACACGTTTTGTAAAATGAAAAAGAAAACACTTCACATACTGAAGTACATTTGGAGTCCCTTTAAGAGGTTCCAGAGTTATCTGGTGATACAGTAGAAGGTTAGGGAGCCAATATTATTGGTGCCAGTGCCATTTTCTGGCATTTTGGAATTGAGCCCCGGTGTAGAGTGAGTTGATTAAAGGTAGGTTTTAAAATATGTTTAGGGTGCTTGGAAATGTGTTAACGTACCATTTATCTTGGGCCCTGTTTGAACCAAAACCATTACCCAGAAAGAAATCTATTTATAGCAGTGTAGGAGGGTAAGTAGTACTTATCCAAAATGAAGTGTCTTCATATACACTGCAAAATATTTTATTCTAGTGGTTCTTTAATGTCAATGCTCAAAGAACAATACAGTGCAAGTTTAATATCACTATAAATTGGGCAGTTCATAATTAATGGGAGACTCTAGGCATCATGACTACTACAGTGCACTGTAGTGGTTTTACTACCTGATGACCCCTGGTTAGTCTGCCAGTAATCTGTCCAACTGCTATCCCTCTGGTCTGAGTTGCTCTTTTTTTATTTTATTTTTTTATTCTTTAACAGAGGAAGAGTAAACCGTAAAGAATAGTACCCTGGGTTGCATTGCACGTGACATGTTCACAAGCAGCAGTTATACAGTGCAATCAACTGTGAAGGCGTGCGCCAATACATTCGTCCCATACCAGGAATGACAGAGCCCCCATCCCACCCCCCAGCAGGCCTTTCTGGGCTATGAGCCATGACGCTGGCCAAAGCCCAGCAGAGTTATCCCCACCAGAGTTAACCCCACAAGTGCACCTTATTTTTTTTATTTTATTTTTCTCATCCTGTTTTTACTGTTGAGCAACATTGGCCTGATATCAGTCCGCATATGTGCGTGTGTGTTGTCCTACAATAACATTAATCTGTGATGATAGCATAGTACCAAATCAATAAATAGTGTAGACGGTGTCCTGGGTTGCTCTTATAAAGCTGAAGTTCATACTTTCACATATTGTACTAGGTTTATTGGCCAAGTGTGCCAGCTGACACTCGCATCAATGAAATGTATGTAGATATGTATTAATATGATAATGTGTAAATATGAACTGCCTCTTCTTTATCAAACAAGAACTACCACGGGTTCCAGACACGCCAACATAAGTGTCAAACAATTAGTTTAATAGATTACCAGGGGATGGTGCCTAGAGACTCCAGGCAACATACCTGCTGTATTAGTCACGGTGCCTAGATTATCCCTTTAACAGCTAATTAATATTGTCTACTGTATTCACAAGCTGAGATGTACGTTTGTTTCTAATTCCAAGAAAGTAATGTGAGCAGGGGCATATTGCCATTGCACAGGTTTCGAAACGACTGTTTTGGTTTTATTTTTTTTCTTGTTATAAGCTACAGCAAATCTTTAATATTTCTGTTGAATAACAGTTTAAAACAATTTCAAATGGATGTTAAAATAAGAAATTGAGAGGTTAGAATTGTGTAAACCCTGTCAAGTTCCTAATTCTAACTGAACTTCGGAAGTTTAAGTAAAGTGCATATGCCCTTAGTATCTTATCCTTTAAAGTAACTCTACCAGTCTCTGTAGTGGCTGTGGTGGCAGGAGTGCTCTGGGTGCAGTCTGGTTCTGCTGGAGAAGACTGGCCCTAGTGTAGATGACACAGCAGGACCCCGGTAAATTGTGCTAAAATGATTTGACATCTTATGAGAGATGGCACTATTAGTTAAGAGGACTGTAGTAGTTGTTATGCTCGGAGTATCCCTTTACTAAAGAAAGCAGCAATCTAGTTCTTCAGAGACCATTAGCCCAGGGGAATCAGCATTGGGTAATCATTGTCTAATCTATAATAGGGATATCACAAACCTTGTACGATGCCCAGATAAGCTGCAAGTTTTATTTAATATTCACATGTTACAAGATATATTCTTTAAAGACTGAAGAATTTTGCTAGGACTCCAATTCTGGCTAATGCCATATCATTAGTGAGCCTAGAAAAAGGGCTCCAGGACTGGCTAATGTCTATTCTGTGCCTATTCCTATGCACAGAAAGTCATTCATTGGTTGAGAGCAATCGGCTAACTCAGCCAATGAATACCAGTGGATCAATATCTGTTGCAGAAGCCGTATGGCGTCGCAGCCAATAGTTTGCCCCATTACCGGTAATGGTGTCAGGGTACTCTTTGTATGGTATACTATGGCAGCTTGGTACTGACAGTGGTAACATTCCCTCTGTTGTGGTCATAGTGGTAAAAAGCATTGTGTAGACAACCATGTGTTAACATGCTCACTTAAAGGAATAACCATAGTGCCAGGAATACAAAGGTGTATTCCTGGGACTATCGCTCCTATCCGCCACCCTCCACGGTAAATAAAGGGTTAAAAACCCTTTATTTACTTACCAGATCCCAGTGCTGCTGTTCCTCGGTGCTGGGTCAAAGCCCCCCACACTCCCCTTCAGTCCTGCGACGAGTGAGCTCTAATGTGCATGCGCAGGAAATGCTGCGCATGCATTAGACCTCCCCATAGGAAAGCATAGAGTAAATGCTTTCCTATGAGGAAAAGTTGACCTCCAGCATCAGATACTGAAGCAAAGGTTTGTTTTAAACCAGGAAGCCCTCTAGTGGCTGTCTGGTAGACAACCACTAGAGTTTGACTTAGTGCTGCAATGTGAACATTGCAGTTTCTCTGGAACTGCAATATTTAACATTGCAGCACTAACAGCAGTAGGGACACTGCACTCAGACCACTTCAATGGAGAACCAAGCACTATGGAGATTAAAACACTTATGTTTTAAACAGTAAAGCATAAAATCTCAAAATATTAATTTATTCTTTTTTCCTGTGTGCCTTACAAAAGTAATGATCATATTTAAAAATTATTCTTAAATTTATAGCACAAGTCAGAGAATTCCAAATCCTCTGTTTTTGCGTAATCAGTTTGTCAATTTTGCAGGCTAGTTTTTTAACTTGCCACCATTTGTTCATTGATTAAATTCTTAAGTGTGTCAGAAAGACGGTTTTTAGAGCTATGTAGTTCACGCCAGACAAGCAATCCTTTATATTCTTCCATAATACCCATGAAGACTTATAACGGCCTCCTAGGCTAAGCTGCTGGGATATCTCTCTCAAAATGTTTCTAAGTGCCATTTTCCACAAACAAAGCACAAGACGCAATAACCAAAAGCATAGCTGGTCTATTTAATCTTTTTTTTTTTTTTTTTTCTTCAACTTGTTCTTGTTTGGAAAAAAAAATCCTGGACACTATTAGGAAGTATTGTTTACAAACTGTTGGGGGGAAAAAGGTATAAAAAAAGTAATGGGCTGGTCAGAAGGGAGGATTATACAATGATGCTTTCAATCATGGAAGGGGTGGGCTGACGGACACTTTGCCCCATGGTCTTAGTGCCCTGAGGTTACCATTCCTGAAGCACTATGCCCATGATATTTAGTGCCTTGATGTTACTCCACACATCACAAGTGCATTTAATGATGTGCTTGTGCAATGCTGATTGGGGAAATTTCCCTCTTGACCTCAAAAGTGGGACACTAGTGAACTAACCCAGAATGGGGGAACAGAACCCCAGATTTTTTTTAATTTTTTTTTTTCAAACCTGGGTAAGTAGAGAAGAATGGTGAACGGTCTCCCATAATGCTTAGCCAACCCTTAGACGGGACATTATATGAAAATTTACAGTACTATAAGCCATCACTGTCATGTTTCTGTTGAAATATGACTTTACCCACATTGGTCCCGTTTTAAAACTATCATTTATGTTGTACGTAGGGTTGCCACTTGGCCTGTGTCTGTATTGCTATAATACCGGCAATACAAATGCCAGTATTTTTCTCTGTATAAACGGAGATTAGATGCAATGCCGGCCAGCAGGTGGTGCTGTGTGTGAAGAGAGACGGGGATAGGAAGTTAAAGGACCACTATAGTGCCAGGAAAACATACTCGTTTTCCTGGCACTATAGTGCCCTGAGGGTGCCCCCACCCTCAGGGTCCCCCTCCCGCCCGGCTCTGGAAGGGGAAAGGGGTAAAAACTTACCTTTTTCCAGCGCTGGGCGGAGAGCTCTCCTCCTCCTCTCCGCCTCCGTTACGCCCCGCCGGCTGAATGCGCACGCGCGGCAAGAGCTGCGCGCGCATTCAGCCGGTCTCATAGGAAAGCATTTACAATGCTTTCCTATGGACGCTGGCGTGCTCTCACTGTGATTTTCACAGTGAGAAGCACGCAAGCGCCTCTAGTGGCTGTCAATGAGACAGCCACTAGAGGATTAGGGGGAAGGCTTAACCCATTCATAATTATAGCAGTTTCTCTGAAACTGCTATAATTATGAAAAAATGGGTTAACCCTAGAAGGACCTGGCACCCAGACCACTTCATTAAGCTGAAGTGGTCTGGGTGCCTAGAGTGGTCCTTTAAAGCATCTCTCTCCCCACTGATCCGCGGGGAATATATAGTGTCCCCATGTCTCCCAGTGTCCCTTAGTATCTGTGTCCCTGAGACACTAATGGACACTGGAAGACGGGACACTGAAACACTAGGACACTGGGAGGCTTAAAGACACTGTGCTTGGAGACAGGGAGACAGTGGGAGCAATCCCGCTTACAGCAGAATCAGGTTTTTTTTGGTGATTTTAAAGAATTTTCTGTTACTCATTGTAATGTACATATCGTGATGTCACACATGCATAATTAATTATGCAGATTAGTATGGCCGGTATTTTTTTTTTTTTTTCTTTCAAAAAAGGTGGCAACCCTTACGCAGAATCTAAACTGCTTCATATAATTTTCCATTAAATATCTTATGAATAAACCAAGAGAAAAAATTGGTTTGCAAAGAATGCTTTGGGGAAATAAAACAAAAAAAGCAAGAGATTTTGTAAAATGTCCTTTTTCAAAGTGTGCAGACATTACCTGTTCCAGATCATTGTTTTGTACAATCGTCCCCTGATATGTTCTTGCTGATTGTGTTTTTTGCAACTTTGCCTGGTTAAGGTTCCTTCCTTTTTAACAGCTTTCATTTTATTTTGTGTTCCTAAAAATGCAATTAAAGTTAAGCTGCTTTTTGGTGCAACTAATAGAATTTGTAAATTCAGATAGTCACTTGGCCTTGTATTTTCTGATCCGCATGAAATTAAGAAACTGAGTTTCTGTTGGGAAAATAGCCATTTTCCCCCTCCAGAATGTATATACACAGCTGTTTAATAAAGTAAATTCTCTTCTTAAAATTTTTATTGGCTTTTAATTCTTACATTGTCTCGGATTTTATAACACAATATGCTTTTTATATTTTATAACACAATATGTCAAAATGATTTGACATCTTATGAGAGATGGCACCATTAGTTAAGAGGACTGTAGTAGTTGTTATGCTCGGAGTATCCCTTTACTAAAGAAAGCAGCAATCTAGTTCTTCAGAGACCATTAGCCCAGGGGAATCAGCATTGGGTAATCACTGTCTAATCTATAATAGGGATATCACAAACCTTGTACGATGCCCAGATAAGCTGCAAGTTTTATTTAATATTCACGTTACAAGATATATTCTTTAAAGACTGCAGAATTTTGCTAGGACTCCAATTCTGGCTAATGCCATATCATTAATGTACATACATAAAATTTAAGTTAAACTTTACACGCCACCGAGAATTTCCTACTGCATGCCCCTTGGCAATAATGTACTAAATATAACTTCATTGATGATGAGTAATCGTTACCCATTCTGAAAGTGGTTAAGACCTGCACTGATTTGCGAATCAATATTAAAGGAACACTCCAGATCTTAAAGCTTAGCTTGCTGGATAGCTTTGTGTGAAATTTTTTTGTTTTTGTTTTATTTCTCATTTTGCAAAAAGTGCAGATATCTATAAATTTACACTTTTGTAAATTAAGCCTTGGCTTTCAAGCAGACAACCGGTAATGTTACTTCCTAGTTTTGTTAGCTCAATGCAGCTGACCTCAAGAGGCAGTAATTGCCCAGAGCACCTGCCTTACAAAGATCCTCATTGAGCTGCTTTGGGCAGCCTGTGATTGGACAGCAACAGAAAGTCTGGGTGGGGTTAGAAGGGGAGGGGTTGCAAAGGCAGCAGACGAGAACTACAGGCTTTGCAAGCTGATTTTAGATTTACCCCCAATGAAAAAGATGCATCATTAAATGCATGCAAGTTTTTATTTTGGGAGTACATCTACTAAACAGTTATTTTGTATTTGGGCAGTGGAGTGTCCCTTTAATCAAGTTGCTGTTCCATGGAAAGAGAATTGAGGTCTGCGTAACCATCAGGCGCCATATAGTTGCTACCACTTTATATAGTAGTTCCACTCATTCATTGATGAGTGGAAATGCTGTTGAATTTCACAATCTTTTCCTGGGCTGATATTCGCTGGATAAGAAAAGACAAAGGCTAGAATGAGATGCTCCTGATTGAAACTGCTATTTTTTTACTGAGGGAGAGGTCTTCCTGTAGCTGAAGCCAGCCTCCCTACACTGTGAAGTTAAAGAATCTTCTATATAATGCATTAAAAAAAAAAAAGAGAGAAATAGGAAGCTCTTTTCACCTTATACATTCTCTTTACATTAAAGGACCACTATAGTGCCCTGAGGGTGCCCCCACCCTCAGGGACCTCCTGCCACCGGGCTGGATGGCGAGGAAAGGGGTTAAACTCACCTTTTTTCTAGCGCTGGGCGGGGAACTCTCCTCCTCTCCGCCTCCGATCCTCCTCCTGGGCTGAATGCGCATGCACGGCAAGAGCTGCGCGCGCATTCAGCTGGTCTCATAGGAAATGCTTTCCTATGGACGCTTGCGCGTTCTTGCGTGTTCTCACTGTGATTTTCACAGTGAGAAGCACGCAAGCGGCTCTAGCAGCTGTCAATGAGACAGCCACTAGAGGATTTGGAGGCTGGATTAACCCATTTATAAACATAGCAGTTTCTCTGAAACTGCTATGTTTATAAAAAAAAAGGGGGGTTAATCCTAGAGGGACCTGGCACCCAGACCACTTCATTAAGCTGAAGTGGTCTGGGTGCCTAGAGTGGTCCTTTAACATCTCTTTAATAAGGGAACCACCATCTACATCAGGCATAGGCAACATTCGGCACTCTAGATGTTTTGGACTACACCTCCCATGCAGTGGCGTCTCCAGGATTCATACTTTGGGTTGGGCACATAAGGGGCCAGGGACAAAAGTAGTTCCTCCCAGCACAGTGCCCCCTCTGGCCGCTTGTGGGTAAAGGATGGAACACATTTCCACAGGGACAGTGCTGCTGCTGCAGCTTGTGCCCCTGATTTCAGTTGGGGGAGAGGGGGCATGGCCACCCCTCCTAGCGACGCCTATGCTTTGGAGTGCCAAAGGTTTGTGTTTCTGACCCTATAGTGTTCCTTTAATCAAATTCCTGTTGATCTACGCCCAAATGAATCAACCTGTCACATAAATCCTGGACGGACAGGTTTCTTCTGGTGCAACTGACCGGAATTTGATTAGTTTGTCACAAGTGAAGAAATGGATTTTTGCACAAATGTAGTTATTAGGTTCCTGATATAGTGCTTGGTTCTTACTATTGTTATTTTTTAAATAAATTAGTATTCTTTTAATCTTCTCCAAAAATTAAACTATGAGAATCCTCTTGCCTGTACCAGACCTAAAAACAACACTGGGCCTTGTGTATCAAACAACCGAACATAAGAAGCTAACCACCAAATAGGCTTACTTGTAGAGGTCATGCAGTTATTGTACCTAGAACATGTTTGCATGCTGAATTTGGTCCCATTCTAAAACTACAGAAACATGCTTTCTAGAGTGTGTTAAAGGCCTAGGAGCGAATATTTCTCTACACAAGATACTCCTGGCTCCATACTGTAGTAATATCAAGTAAAATGTGACTTATGCAGCAGGTAAGTGAGCATTGCTTCACTCTACAACAAATCTAATGTAAGATTTAAACAAATAAAATCTGCAAGTTTCCCTCTTCCAGAGCACGTGGTTAGATACAGGTTAGCTTGGCCCCAACTCCGCCACTAAAGTACACTCCTTTCAGAGACTAACCAGGTATTTTCCATGGGACTTTTTCACACATTGCTTTCTGACAATTTCTCACCAATTACCATTTATTTATTGAGGGGATTTCCAGATTCAACTATTCTTGCCATTTAGTTTTTAATTAACCCCTTTTTATGCCCTGGGATCATGTGTACACCATTTGGAAATGGTGCCCTTTCTATTGTAAGCAGTCTGTCTCCATGGCAGACAGAGCCGGTGCTGCTGTATGAGTCGATGAAGGAATCTAAAGATCTCTTTTCTGGCTATGTACATTTGGAAAAATGCAATTGAGGAACAGATTTGCAGCACTGGACCACCTGGCTACAGTGCACTCCCAGCTCAAATGGTAAGAAGGGAGAGGGGGGACAAATATAAATAAGGAAAAAGAAAAAATATGTGTATTCTATATAATTTTCCTTCTTCCCTGTGTGAGAGGCTGGACACAAACACAACCTCCTCACATATAGTACTCAACCTTGCCATAAACAGAGCACGTTACCACCACAAGTAGAACCACGGATCCAGGAATACAGATATAATAAACAGGCTTGCACTGCTATAAGGTCCACCGCCATGGGGGACGGAGTTGACTTCGCTGTAATCCAGCGCCGGGATAAGCTCCCAGTTCTGACTTCCATCCAACATCAACTGTGCAGTGCAATTACAGATTTCTCATCGAGAAGGACTGTTTCAGCAGCTCAAAGCACGCAATCTCAGCTGGCGAGGTGAGGGATTTAAAAAAAAAAGTTAATTTAAAAAAAATAATAATACAAAAGCAATGGAGGGAGCACCCCCAGGGATGGGTGAGCTAGCTTCCCCTTGCAGGCAGAGGGAGAAACAGAGCTGGATTAACATAGGGGCTGATAAAGCTGCAGCTCCAGGCCCATAAAATAGGCCCATTGGTTTTTTGTTTTTTTTAATAAATATACACACTACACTTAGGGTTGCCACCTTGCCAGTACCGATATTGCAGTTATACCGGCAATACAAATGACAGCATTTTTCTATTACCAGCACCAGCCAGTAGGGGTCGCTGTGTGTGTGTGTGTGTGGAAAGAGGCAGGGATAGGAAGTTACAGCATATACCTGCATCTCTCTACTCACTGATCCGCGGGGGAGCAGCTACACATCACAGAGTCCAGACAGCAGATCCCAGCCTGTAGAGACAGCCTACAGCTCAGGGAAGTGAGGGATGGGGTAAAGGCTGCAGGGAGACATGGGGCCACAGGAAGACCTATGGGGATGCTGAGACACATGGGGACACAAATAGAAAAATCTCAGGCACTCACTGCGATTGTTTGCAATAAATCTGCCTGCAAACAATCGCAGTGAGTGCCTTAGATTTTGATATTTGTACATATTCTCGGGTTTTTTTGCTGACCCATGCTCAGTAGCACCCTGGGCTGAATTGTTGTGGTTGAGTGCGACCCTACCCTTTTTCTTTATTACACCTGGGGACACAGACACTAGGGACACAGCCAGTGTTCCCATGTCACCCAGTGTCTCCTAGTGACATGGGGACACTGGGAGACATGGGGCACTGAGACACTGTGATACATAGTCTCAGTGTCTCCTAGTGACATGGGGACACTGGGAGACATGGGGCACTGTGATACATAGTCTCAGTGTCTCCTAGTGACATGGGGAGACCTGGGAGCAATCCATCTATACAGCAGAATCAAACGGTGTTTTTTTTGGGGTGATTTTACAGAATTTTCTCTTATGTCACTCCTTTTGATTTATATCATGTGATATCATGCATACATAACTAGTTATGCAAATTAGTAAGGCCTGTATTCTTTTTTTTTTTTTTTTCAAGAAAGGTGGAAACCCTAACTACTCTTCACATACTCTTGCTTAAAGGGAAACTCCAGTGCCTGGCACTGAAGGTACCCTCTCCCTCCCACCTCCCATCCCAGGAAGCTGAAGGGGTGAAAACCCCTTCAGGTCACTTACCCGAGACCCCGCCGATGTCCCTCGGCGGTGGTTTCAGGTTGGCGTCGCTCCTCCCAGTAATCACGTCAGCCGGTGGGCGAGACGGAACCTGCCCGCCGGCTGAGGAAACCTAATGCGCATGCATGATTTTCAATGCTTTCCTATGGGGAATTGAGCAGCGCTGGAGGTCCTCACACAGCGGGAGGACGTCCAGCGACGCTCTAGCAAAGAAAATCTTTGCTATGAATCAGGAAGTGCCCTCTAGTGGCTGTCTACTAGACAGCCACTAGAGGTGGAGTTAACCCTGCAAGGTAATTATTGCAGTTTATAAAAAAAACTGCAATAATTACAGTTGCTGGGTTAAGAGTAGTGTGAGTTGGCACCCAGACCACTCCAATGGGCAGAAGTGGTCTTGGTGCCTAGAGTATCCCTTTAAGTATGGAGACTTAGGAGGGATATATGGAAACAAAACTTGTGTGGACTAGCTGAAATGAAATTAGTTAAGGTAATGCTGACTTTGGTCTAACACTGTGGCATGTTCCCTTTCTTCTACACTCACTACATCCACCCTTTCTCTGTCCCAGACTATATACCAGGAGTTTGTGCCTGGTAGTAAGAAGGTACGGAGAGGAGTGGACATGTGAGTGCTAGGGGACAGTCCTTAAAAAGCATAGAGCGAGCGCATCATTAGATGCATTTATGCCAAGTTCAGGATGCTATTGGCCAGCATGCATGATTGGCAGATGCCTCCTTTTTGGGCATGTTCGTGCCTTTTGGGAGTTCTGGTTACATGACCCGCGTCAGTGGCCCACCCTTTTACACCGCCCATTGACTTCCTGCTTCACTGGACACTGCTGTTAGGGGGTATGAATTTACTTGAACGATGAAAGCCTGAATTAGAGAGAGATTAGTATATTTTAATAGAATCTGAATTTTCTTATAGCTGCATCCTGTGACTTTCCCTCCGGCAACATCTCCATAAGGTACATAACGCTTGAGAGGTATGACTGTTTTAGTGATTTTGGTTGATAAGATTCTGTACTTAGGCCCATCATAATTGTCAGCACCAGGCCCACTGGGCTCTGGGGAGATAATGTCCGTTGCTAGCGTGCTGTGCTTGCGGACATCAGATGTAAAATATGCAGAGTTGACATTAGGCTGCATAAGTAACATGTACTGGGTGTGCAACTAGCCCCCAGCACACAATTAAAAATATATCTGCTTGAAATGCTGTACAATCAGAAACACTGCCCTTACTGGATCTCAC